ACACAACAATGAGATCATAACCTGAGCCAAAGTCAGCCACTTAACCAACTGAGCCACCCAGGCACCCCTTGAGAGAGAGAGAATCCTAGGCAGGCTCCAAGCCCAGCAAGGAGCCCAATGTGGGGCTCAATCTCACCACTCTGATATCAGGACCTGTGCCAAAATCAAGAGTCAGATGCTGAACCACCTGAGCCACCCAGGTGCCCCTAAACTGGAGAACTTTCTCAGGTGAATTAAGAATACTAATAGAAAAAAAAAAAACAAAAAACTAATAGAGTAATAAGAAAACAAAGGTAGAGAGAGTGGATGGAAGACATAGAGGAAATGTTCCAGGCAATGGAAAACCAAGTAATTTCATATGCTAAGGTAAAAAGAAATACCAAGATATAAGTCAAAACAAAATCCAACCACAAAGGGTTAGGCATGTTCTTCTGAAGAGCCTGGATTTAATCCTAGAGACAAAGAAGAGCCATTGAAGAATTTTAAGTAGAAGAGCATGAAATAATCAGATGAGAGTTTTAGGATGGCAAAGTGAAATGTGTTATTGCAAAATAAAGACAGAGATCATCTATGACCCTAGAAGAGTAATCCAGACAACTAATTATGATGTCCTGAACTAAAACCGTAACCACAGAGAATAAGAGGAGGCGAAATTCAAGGTATGATAAAGGATGGATGGGAGAATAGACAGCACTTGGTAACTGACAATGTAGGATTGATGAAAGAGATAGGTGTGAAAAATGACACATGGATGAATCATCTTGACATTTGCAGAAATAAGAAATCCAAAGTAGACTGCCTTATATATATATATAGTCAACTGAACTGAATGTATATGTTCATGATTATCTCTAGGTAGTGAAATTTTGTGAGCTTTTTTCTTTATGTTTTACTAATTCTTTCAATTTTTCTACATTAGGACAAATTTCTTTTTAATTAGAGAATCAAGTTAATTTTCTTTAAAGAAAAATCAATTGGGAGTTTTCTCCCTCAATTGCTGTTCAGGTAATTACAAGTATTTCTATCAAGAGACACATCTGCAGACAATGTCTGCAAACCAACTTACAGACTAAAATAAGATACATATTTTTTTTAACCACAGCCATTTTAGAAAAAGAGAAGAAAAGTGGTCTTGCTTGCCCACTGCTAATATAAGTCAAAGAAGGGTTATACATTAACACACCCACACCCAAATGGCTTACATTAAATCTCAGTGAAATCATTCCATAGGCAGTGAAGCTACTCAAATCAAATGTATGCAAAAATGTCAAAAGCACTACTGGACATTTCATGCAATATGAAAAAACAAGATAAAGAAAAAATATATAAAAGGAAATAAATTTTTGAATAAAGTAATTTTCTCTTTTTCCTTCATTATAAACAAAATCCCTTATTTTAAAATTTTATGCCCTAGCACTCAAAAGCAAGAGATGGTACCTCACACAGACTTGAAATGAAATAGGATTCAAACCGAAACAATATTAAGGGACAACTGAGCTATGAAGGATGAATCAAGAAAATGCATGACTTTGATAAAAAGAAGCTGGTTAAAAAAGCTGTGTGTCTTTTTCAATAGTACCTCCTCAAACCCCGCTCTTTAATGTTTGTTTATTTTTGAGACAATGTGAGAGACAGAGTGCAAGCAGCAGAGGAGCAGACAGAGGGAGACACAGAATCTGAGGCGGGCTCCAGGCTCCGAGCCGTCAGCCCAGAGCCCGATGCGGGGCTCGAACTCACAAACCATGAGATCATGACCTGAGCCGAAGTCGGACGCTTAACCAACTGAGCCACTCAGGCGCCCCTCCTCAAACCCTGCTCATAACACCTCCAAAGTCAATGGCCAAGTCCAGTAAAAGAAAAACAGCCAAACATTATAAAGGTTGCTATCAATTCTAGTGAGCTTGAAGAGATGGCTAGAAATCTACTCTCAAGTAATCCTTGCTGAAACCCATAAAAGAGAATGAAGAAAAGTCTAAAGCACATAGGAAGGAATATAGAAAGGAATGGCGGGTTTGAAGACTGACTACAAAGGCAAGAGAGAAGCAGGAAAGAGGGTTTTGCCTCCCACAACTTCTTTCCGTCTCCTCCCCGACAAAAACTCACAATCTGCACCTTAGCTCTTTCGCAGTTCTTTGTAACTCTTAGTCCTTCTGCTAGTCCACTTAGATGGTCACTTTAATCATCTCCTCTAATATTCACTCATCATTGCTGATAATAGTCACCCAAATAACTCCCAGTTGGGAGTTTAAAACGTATATATTAGCCTTCTCTCTTCATAGTAAGAAATGCATCATGTGCTCCATGGATTTCCTTATGGTGTCTTTGGTTCTCTTATCTCCAAAAACCGCTTCCAACTAAATTCTTCATTAACTTCTTGGTTTATTATTCCCAAGTCAAATCTCTCATCAATAAAACCATTTGCCTGTCTTGGCTGTCGAAGTGCAAAACTGGTATTGTAAGACTGGAAGGGGTATACATTAAGTGGTCAAGATTTGAAAAGTATGTTGTAACTAAGAGTTACATTTTGTGATCTATGCATGTGACTGCCTCTACAGATTGAAATCGAGACTTAACTATAATTACTTTGTGATTCTGACTCAGTTCTTTGGACTGGTTAGTGGATCAACAAATATTTACTTCATGCTTTAATGGTAATGTATGTATTACCATTCATAATAATAAATGGTATATAAAATTAAATAAGATGCATACCTGAACTCTCTACAGAGGAGAGGATAAATAAGGCGTTTAAAAGAATCATCCAGTGAACTGTGTAAGATCTTCATTAACTCCGGCCTTGCAAAGCCACGTGGTCTCCACCTGCAAAAAAGAAAAGCCTACACTAAAACTGATGTAACAATAACAAGACCATGAAAGGGCTCCTGAAGAGGGGAGAGGAAGTGGAACAGAAGAGGGGGAAACTTTATCGAAGCCAAAGTAACATAATCTGTGAGGAAAGACTGTGATGTCTGGAAATTATTACTATGACATCTGGAGTTCTTATTTTTAAAAACCTGGTAACCACATCCATACATAAAACTTAAAGGAGGAAAAAACTTTCTTATTCTGGGAAGAGTCTCCCGAAGCATTATTAATAATGGTGAAAATATTAAGATATAAAAAAGTCACCAGAAAAAAAAAAAGTCACCAGAAAATGACTAATGCACTGCTGTGAACTGAATTATGTCCCCTAAAATTAATATATTGAAGTTCTAACCCCCAGTGAGATGTTATTTGGAGATAGGGCCTTTGGGAGATAATTAGGTTTAAATACAGTAGTGAGAGTAAGGGCCCTCATGATGGCATTAGTGCCTTGAAAGAAAAGATATCAGAGAGCCTGCCCTCTCTCCATCCCTCTCTCTCCCAGTCAGGTGAGGACACAGTGAGAAGGCAGCAGTCTACAAGCCGAGAAGAGGGTTCTCACCAGAAACCAAATCAGCCTGCACCTTGACTTTACAGTGTCCGGAACTGGGAGAAAATAAATTTCTGTTCTTTAAGCCACCTAGTCTATGGTATTTTGTTATGGCATCAAAGCTAAGACAAACATGTATCCTCTTTGCCCCATTTCTTTATCTCTTCCTGAGAGAGCAGACTGAGCAAAGGACAAACTCTGTTTTAACTCTTGCCTCTTGCCATTCCTGAGTAGAACTCACTCTACTCCTCAGGCTGTAGTGCTCTACCATGCAGTGTATCTGCACACATGCTGATGGATATAAATGTCAGAGAATCAAATGTTAGTGGACACTGGATAGAGAACAATAAGAGAAAAGCATAAGCTAAAAAGGACAGATTCAGCCTTACCCCTTCTGTGTTTCCATCCATCTAGAGTATCTCTGCCCTTGCCCTTCAATGACTCTTAAATAAAAACCACTAATAAATATTTACTTTATAAATAATAATAAAATAAACCATTAATATACCTTAGGGACACTGTCATCTCCCTTACTTATCTCAGGTAGGAAATTAACTAAACTTCAGTGAATAAACATTCAAGAATCAATTATATAGTATACCAAAGATTTCATAATAACTAATTGAATCCCTTCCATAGAAGATTATTATCTGAGTAGCATATAGTTTTGTTTTTTAATTTAAATGAAAGTGCTTTCAGGACATACATCTTTCCACACAAATCTCTGTAACTCTCTACTGTCACCTTTATCTGAGGGCATGAGGGGTAGGGAGGAGTAGGATATGAATTGGATACACATAATTAATATTAAAATTAATATTATTATTACTGTTATTATTAATTTGGAGAGCCCAATGTCAAGAAAGATGTCCCAGAAGAAGCATCTGAGATGGGTTTTGAAAAAATTAACTGTGCTTTATCAAACAAGACCCAGAAAGAAAAGCATACTGGTAAGAAACCATAGCATATGAAAAAGCACAGAGGCATGAAAGCACATGATGAGTCTAAGTGACTACAAGTAGATTAGTACTGCTAGAGCATAACTGCCAGGAGCAGGTGTGGGGGTAGAGGGGGCTAGAAAACATGGCAGAGCTCAGATCACTAAGCGTCTTACACATCATGCTATGGAGCTTGGCAAGTTAGGAGAGAACACAGTCCTGGGTCATGAGACAATAAGATAGGAAGACAGTCCTTAGAGGCAGGAAGGCCCTAAAGGAGAGATTTTTTTAGATGTATGTACCTGATATCTGCTGGGGGTCATTCCCTTTAAGGCCAAACCAAGGTTTCCCCATTGCTAGTAGGAAGAAACCAGGAATCCTTAACATTGCCTATCTGATCCTTCTGGAAGCCTCAACAGTCTTCCTTAAACCTTATCTCTTGCCCCCACATCTACTCTGGTTTCCTTCCAAATAATTCCCTATACTGAGCCAGAGTGATCTTAAAATGCAAACTGATCATTATGATAATCCTCTGTTTAAACCTTTTATTGGCTTTCCATTACCCTTAAGATAAAGAAGAACAAAATCCTTCCCTGTCTAGAAAGCTAGGTATGATCGATCCGGCCCATGCCTACAAGTCAATTGTCATTTCATGTTGCTTTTTGTTCCTCTCCTTCTGTCTCTGACCTACATATGCATGCAACCCAGACTCCATTAGGGTTCCCTGTTACAGACTCATGAAACACTGCAGTTCTCCTTTATGACCTCAGCATACCCTTAACCACTTGTCAGGATCTTCTCCATTAAACTATATTGTCACCAAGGACAAACAGCGTATTTATCTGTAGCATAAGGCTACAGGTGGATCCCCAGCATCTAGCATATAACCTGAATGGATGAATACATGAGAGAGGTGGAAGGTGAAAGAAGAAGGGGCATAGAGAATAAACAAAACAGAAGAGGATGAAGAAGGAAAGATTTGAGTAAGCATCTCCAGTCATTCAAATGTGTTTTAAAAAAAGAAAACAATTCCCTGAGAATGGTTCTTTGGTTCCCAGAGAAATAATTTAGCTAGCTCTTGTTTCGGGTCTTTACTTCCCATAGAAGTGTTTCTTCAATTATCTATATACAGAGAAGCTTCTAGAATGTAACTGAAACATATCACTATACCATAGTAAAGTATTATAGTATAGGTTAAATAATATTACCAATTACTCAATTGAGGAAGAATTGAATAAAATAAAATATAGATGAACCAAGAAAAACCATTTAAATCACTGTAAGGAAACCACTCCTTAACATCTACTCAGTATGAAGATAATAGGCTAAAACCATAACTAATACTTCCTTATTAGGAAGTTGTCCCCCTATTTATAAAAGATATTTCTAAAAAGGAAATATGCACAATAATCCCACTACTTTGTAATAAAAGATACCACTGAAGGCTACACAATTAAATGGACTATCATTTACTTCTCTCAAATATGTGAAAAAGGTATTACTTATCATTTAGACAATAATGAAACTGAGAAAGAAATAACATGCTCATAGTCACAAGGGTAAGAAGTAATATAACTGGAATTCAAACTCAGATATATTTGCTTCTTAGAATTTTGGGTTTCTTTGTTTTGTTTTTAAATGTTTACTTATTTACATTTGAGAGAGAGAGAGCCGAGCGGGAGAGGGGCAGAGAAAGAGGGATAGAGAGAATCCCAATCCGCACCATCAGCACAGACCCTGATGCAGGGCTCAATCCCACGAACCATGAGACTGTGACCTGAGCCAAAATCAGGAGTCAGATGCTTAACAACTGAGCCACCCAGGGGCCTCAAGATTTTGTTCTTTCTATGCAACTATCTCAGAGTTTCATCTTATTTTAAATTAAAACTATCTAATTTCTTCACACTACTGTTTAAATCTATGATTTCTTTTAGGTATTTATTCCCTTTTTATTTTTAATGAAATTTATTTGTTTAGAAAGAAAATAAACATTCACTAAAAAAACACCTACAAAATCCACAGGAGAGTATACAACAGAAAATTAAAATCTCACACCAGAGCTATGGAATAGATCATTTGTATTTTTCCAAAAAATGTTCTTACACACAGACATTTTTTGCCATTAATGAAACCATACTATAAATACTAATTATAAGCTGTCTTTTTAACCCAGTAAGACATGTTTATATCTCAAGTTCAGCTCTATCTCAGCTCATCTTCAACTTTTCAAGATGGCTGCACAGAATTCCATGTATGGCTATAACATAATTAGCTTACACAATTTACCTATTGAGTAACATGGAGATAGACATTTCACTTCATGAGTCCTTGGTTAGCATTATTTGGTCATTAAGCAAGTTAATCCTTCATGGAACTGGTTTTTGGCAAAGCGGCTTCCAATGAATTGATGAAAGTACTATGTTGGATGAGAAAGCTAATTTCTAAAGTACACAGTACCGGTTCCTCTCAAAGAAAAATTCATCCGACTCTTCAAATAGCTTTCCCAGCAATCTCCCTAACTTAAGGTTACACAGTACTACATATCCTAACTGCCAGGCAATCTTCTTGACCTTTGTATCAGTTTTCTCACTCGCAAAATGGCAGCTACAAATCTGCTCTACCAACGAACCAGATTGTTATAAGGATCAAATACACTCTGAAAAGGGAAAACTAAAAGTTAGAAGTTCTATACAAACATATGGTGCAATTTTAAAAGGTTCTGTTAACAAATGAAAAAAGATAATAAAAAGTTACATAAGCTTAGAGATTTCTCTGAAATTTCCAATAAATTTAATGTTAACTGCAATCATCTTTATTGTGCAAAATATTTTAGGTAAACTGCATATATAGCTTTAGAGATTTATATTATAATATCTGACAAATTATAGTTCTGCTTCAATTATCCTTAATGATCAAAACATTTCAGATCTGTCATATACAGCATGTTTTTGTTAATTTAGCTTTTCATAAGAGAAAACACTCTTATTATAAGATTCCAACAGTACAAAAAAGTACTAAGTAAAAATCCCTCTCCCTAGAGATAAGTAATATGAATAATTTATTTAAATACTCAATACAACCTGTTTCCTATTTAAACATACACAACATTTATATTTATTTTAGAAAAGAAAGAAATTCTTTAAAAATCTATAAACAGACCTGTTTTGGATGCACCACCTACAGAATTCATTCTTCACGCCATCAGAAATGTTGACCTTAACAGTCAGTATCTTCAAATTTTCCCCACGGTTAATTGCCAGGATCTGAATGCAAACATATATGGCAAAGACTGATGATCCACAAAATATATAAATGGTCAATTTAATCAGTCAACATTTGTGAAATAAAAGAGCAGTTATCCAGTCTAGAGCTATATGAATTTTTCATTCATTTATTTACCAAAATGTATTTAAAAATAATCACTTCTTTATATTAAAAAAAATTATTTTAATAAAGTACTGGTAAAAGCCTATGACATTCACAGAAAGAGACTGGTGATCTAAGAATCTCATTTCAGATTTGATTAACTGAAAATTTTTGATCATCTGGAGTTAAAAAATATATTTTTCACATTTGTGAAAATTTATGGCTGAGATTTACAAACATGCAAATTCCCATGTGGAATAGTAACTACTAACTGTCACCATTTATTTAGCATTTACTAATTGTCAAGTCCATCTAAGCACTTTAAATACTTACCTCATTTAATTTTCAAAGCCACCAGTGAGGTATTTATTTTCTTCATTTTACATAATAATTTTTCTAAGACTACTCTGTCCCAAATAACAAAGATTACAAATGAAGGAAAAATGTAAATTCAGTTCAAGCTATCTCTTAATGAATATATTAAAAGAGTAATTGTCTCAAAATATATTAAAAACACTCCTTTAAAGAAGAGCAAACAGGGGCACCTGGGTGGCTCAGTAGGTTGAGCATCCAACTTCGGCTCAGGTCATGATCTCATGGTTCGTGAGTTCAAGCCCCATATCAGGCTCTGTGCTGACAGCTCAGAGCCTGGAGCCTGTTTCAGATTCTGTGTCTCCCTCTCTCTCTGCCCCTCCCTGCTCATGCTGTCTCTCTCTCTCAAAATTAAACATTAAAAAATTAAAAAAAAAATAAAGAAGAGCAAACAAACCTAAAGCAAGTAGAAGAAAGGAAATAATATAGAGGGAAAATAAAAAGAGAACAGAAAAATAATAGAAAATAATGCTAGCAAAACCAAAAGTTGGTTCTCTGAAAATGTCACAAAATTAACAAACCTTTTATTAGACCAAGAAAAAAGGGAGGAAGCATTCCAATTACCAAAATCAAAAACAAGAGGGGCCATTACTATTGAAATTAGAGAAATAAAAAAGATCATAACAGAATACTATGAACAACTGCATGTCAAATTACACCACATAAATAAAATGAAAAAAATTCTTAAAAAGACAGACTGCCAAACAGTAAAATAAAAACAGAAAATCCAAAAAGATCTAAATTAAGTAAAGAAGACTGAATTAGTAATTTAAAAATTTCCCACAAGAAAATGTCCAGGCCCAAATAGCTTCACCATAGAATTCAACCAAACATTTAAAGAATTAATACCAATTCTTCACAAACCCTTCCAAAATATACCATAGAAAACTTCCCAACTCTATTTACCCTGATACCCAAACCAGACAAGAACATTGCAAGAAAAAAATTAAGATCATTATCTCTTATGAATATAGACATGAAAATACTCAATAAAAAAGTAGTAAGCCAAATTCATAAATATATAAAAAGGATTACACACCAGGATCAAAAGGGATTTATTCCAGGAATGCAAAGTTGCTTTAACACCCAGAAATCAACTAGCATAATACATGATACCCATAAAATAAAAAACAAAATTACACAATTATCTTCTTACATAATATATGCAGAAAGAATATCTGACAAAATTCCAGCTTTGTTCATGATAAAAACACTCTACAAATTAGAAATAGAAGGCAACTTCTTCAATGCTATAAAAATCACATACAGAAACTCCACAGATAACATCATATTTAATGGTGAAAGACTGGATGCCTTCCCTCTAAGATTACAAGGGTCTACTCTTGCCACTTCTATTTTCAACATTGTACTGGAGGTTCTAGCCAGAGTAATTAGGCAAGAAAAAGAAAAAGAAGACACCTAAATTGAAAAGAAAGAAATATATCTATTTGCAGATAATATGATCTTATATATGGAAAACCCTAAGGGATTCACCATAAAGCTATCAGAACTAAAAAAAGGAGTTCAGCAGGATTTCAGGATAATCACTTTCTACACACTAGCAGTAAGCATTCTGAAAGTATTTTTTTTTAATTCCATTTACCATAGCAACAAAAGGAATAAAATACTTAGGAGTAAATTTAACAAAGGACATGCAAAACGTAAACTCTGAGAACTACAAAACATTGTTAAAAGAAATTGAAGAAATGGAAAAACATCCCATGTTCATGAACCAGAGGCTTAATATTGCTAAGATGGCAATACTCCCCAAATTGATTTACAGATTCAATGCACACCTATCAAATTCCAGCTAGCTTCTCTCCAAAAACTGACAAACTAATTCTACAATTCATATAGAAGTTCAAGCAACCCAGAGTCAATCTTGAAAAAGAAGAACAAAGTTGGAGGACTCCCACCTTCTGATTTCAAAACTTATTGCAAAGCTAACAGTAATCACAACTGTGTGGTACAGGCATAAGGATAGATACATAGCTTAGTAGAATAAAATTAAAAGAGTTTAGAAATAAATGCATATGCCCAGAATTAACTGATTTTCAACAAGGATGCCAAGACAGTTCATTGGGGAAAATACAGTCTTTTCAACAAGTGACGCCCAGACAACTGGATAGCTACGTTCAAAAGAATGAAGCTACAGGGGTACGGTATTTGACTGCAAAAAAAATGAAGCTGGTTGCCTTCCTCACATCATACACAAAAATTGTTCAAAACTGACCTTAGACCTTAACATAAGAACTAAATCTATAAAACTCTTAGAAGAAAATATAAGAGAAAATCCTTGTGACCATGAATTAGGTAAGGTTTTAGATATAATACTACATGAACAATCACTAAAGGAAAAAAGTAAACAGACTGGACTTCAATAACATTATACCTCAAAGGATACAATTAAGAAAGTGAAAAGAGGGGCGCCTGAGTGGCCAGTCAGTTAAGCATCCAACTTCAGCTCAGGTCATGACCTCGCGGTTCATGGGCTAGGGCCCCACGTGGGGCTCTGTGCTGACACTCAGAGCCTGGAGCCTATTTCGGATTCTGTGTCTCCCTCTCCCTGCCCCTCCCCACTCATGCTGTCTCTCTCAAAAATAAATAAACATTAAAAAAATTAAAAATAAAAAAGAAAGTGAAAAGAGAACACATAACATGGAAGAAAAGTTTTACAAATCAGTTATCACATAAAAGAGTTAGATCTAGAACATATAAATAATACTAACAACAAGAGCAAAGACCATGTCACCTCTACACTCCAAGTAGGAACTGATATAAAATAAGTGTTCAAGAAAAATTTGTAGGATAATCTCCATGTTACCTTACACCAAAAAAACACCTTTTCACATCTGTATCATCATAAGTTACAAAAATTAACAGCTGTTATGATGAGAAATATGAGACACAAAAAGTAATGTACTCTAATCTTTTCATTATCCTCTCTTTTAACAGTAAAATGCAGATGGAAGAAAAAACTCAATTTTAAAAATGTTTATAGTGAGCACTTCCAAGTTTGGAAAAACTGGCAATCTCTTGATTCCAAATCTCCCCCTCATCTTCCTATAAGACCTTAATAAAGAGGGACACTTGACTGGCTCAGTCAGTTAAATACCCAACTCTTGATTTTAGCTCAGGTCATCATCTCACCGTGGTGAGATAGAGCCCTGCATCAGGTTCTGCTTGGAATTCTCTCTCTCCCTCTCTTCTTCTCTCCCTGATCCTACCCCACTCACATGTAATCACTCTCTCTCAAAATAAATACATAACCATTTAAAAATAAAATAAGGAGCGCCTGGGTGGCTCAGTCAGTTAAGCATCCAGCTTCACTCAGGTCATGATCTTGTGGTTTGTGAGTTTGAGTCCCATGTCAGGCTCTGTGCTGACAGCTCAGAGCCTGGAACCTGCTTTGGATTCTGTGTCTCCCTCTCTCTCTGTCCTTCCCCTGCTCGCGCTCTGTCACTCTCTCTCTCTGTCTCAAAGATAAATAAAAATTAAAAATAAATAAATAAAATAAAATAAAACCTTAATAAAGAAAATAAAATAACATAGGACCTACATCTATGGCATTTCTAGGAACCAGAACTAGATTGCCATCTGATTTCTCTAAAACAACATACAAAGCAAGACAACAGCGGAGCAACATATTTAAGAAAGTTAAGGGAAGAAAGTGAAAACAAAAAATATACTGATGCAAGCTGTCCATGTATCAAGCCCATAGGAAACAATTGTGAATGTGTTAGAACTCAGAAAATACTGTTCATATATACCATCCTTGAAAAATACAGAAGAGTAGTGGTCAGTAAACTATGGTCCATGGGACAAATCCAGATGAACACCTGTTTTCATAAATAGAATTTCATTAAAACACAACCATGCTCACTCGTTTGTGTATTATCTATGACCGCTTTCATGCTGCAATGACAGCTGTGTAATTGCCGGAAAACCCACCTGGCTCAGAAAATCTAAAACATTTATTCTCTGGTCCTCTACAGAAAAACTTTGCCAACTCTCTATTTGACTAGAGAATAAGCTTCACCCAAAAGAGGACTGGAAAGTTTTGGCAAAAGGACTAAGGCCAGGCATTTCATATAACTGTAGGGCTAAGATTAAAATGGAATCAATATCCATTAAGAAAATACAGGTTGCGGGGAGCCTGGGTGGCTCAGTTGGTTGAGTGTCTGACTTCGGCTCAGGTCATGATCTCGCAGTCTGTGAGCTCAAACCCTACATCAGGCTCCCTGCGTCAGTGCAGAGTCTGTCTCAGATCCTCTGTCTCCCTCTCTCTCTCTCTGTCCCTCCTTCTCTCTTGCTCAACAATAAATAAACATTAAAAAATTTTTAAAAAAGAAAGAAAATACAGGTTGCAATCCTGATACCAATGTAGACTTTAAGCTAAAAACCATTAAATGTAGTAAAGAAGAACACTTTATAATGTTAAAGCCACATTCTGGTTTTGGAATAGAGCAAGGGGACTACATATCACACTTTAAAGATGCTGTTACATAAGACATCACTAACATGGTAGAGTAGGGAACTCCAAAAGTCCATCCTACTACAATAGTAATAAGCTGGCAAAAACTGTCAGAATCAACTTTTTCAGAACTCTGGACCCTAGTAAAAAGCTTATAACAACCAGAGGAACACTTAGAGAAACAAGAAGCCACAGAATCTTGGTAAAAGAGCACTCTGAACTCACCATTTGCTCTCCTCCACTCTGTAGATGAGCAGCGGCCATGAAGATAACAGCCTCATTCCTAGGGCAGGTTGCTAGGGCCAGAGGGAGCGACATGGATCATATTCTCAAAAATTTGTGATCTTGTGTTTTGACCTGTTTGATGGCTCCCTGAAGGACAGACTCAAGGGCTGGCCTTTGTTTTGCCTCAGAGCTTCCCCAGGACAGAAGCCATTTCCTGAGTGGCATTTGTTAGAAGTATTTAAAGGCAAATAATTGTGCCACAGTGTTGAGGGGTGAGGGCTAACAGTAGATGTAGGGATTACAGTCAGGGCAACTAACAAACGTCAAAAAAACCTCAATGAAAAAGAGGCTTGAAAATTAGATACTAAAGGGAAAAGAGTCTTTGTAAAGTTCCTGCATAGATTAGAGAATCCGGGAGTCTGCGTGCATGCTTGGGACAAGACAAACACTCTGAAAAGACCTTAAGCTTTCACCTTTGACGGACCTTTGGGCTCCATGCAAACAGGAAGTGAAAGCTAAGGCAGAGGTGTAAACAGCCTTTCTAGGCCAATGTTGAAGGACAACCCACACACAGCCAATCTGCAAGAACTTGGGAGAGTTTGTTTTTTGTTTTGGCTCCCGGCATTAAGAAAACCTCTGTCAAATAACTAGCTGTCCACAAAGCTAATGGAAGAAATGTCAGTGGTCACACATGACAAAGATGAATACAGATGTTTCAAAAATAATTCAGAAGGCACTAAACAACGACCAAAAAAAATCAACAAACCTCCCCACCAAAGATAGCAGCAACAAACACCAAGGATGGGGGTGGGGGGAAGATCTGATTTTCAGTGTTGGCAATGTATAACACTCAGAATGTCAAGTTTTTAACATAAAACCACAAGGCATACAAAGAAACAGTAAAGTATGACCCATTTACAGGGGAAAAAAAAAGAAACTGACAGAAACTATCCTTGAAGAAGCTCAGACATTAGTCTTAATTAGACCACTGTTTTAAATATGCTCCAAGCTCAAGGAAATCATGGACAGAGACCTAAAGGGAATTAAGAGAATGCAGTCTCAACAAAAACAGAATATAAATAGAGTTGAGAATTATAAGAAGAAACCAAATAGAAATTCTGAGCCAAGAACTACAATGACTGAAATGAAAAATTTACTAAAAGGGTTCAATAGTTAATTTGAGCAAGCGGAAGCAGAATTTCATCAGCAAACTTGAAGATAGGTCAATTGTGATTTATGAAGTCTGAGAAGAAAAATAAACAAATAAACAGAGTCTGAGAGACCTATGGGACACCATCAAGTATACCAACATACATATAACAGGAGACCCAGGAGAGAAGAGAGAGGCAGAAAGAATATTTGAAGAAATAATGGCCCCAAATTTCCCAGTTTTGATAAAAAAAAACATTCATCAACACACCCAAGAATCATAATAAATCCCAAGAGGGATAAACTCAAAGAGATCCACAGTGAGACACATTATAATCAAACTGTCCAAACCTAAAGCCAGAGAATCCTCAAAGAAGTAAGAGAAGTAATTCATTATGTGTTAAGGATTCAATAAGATCAACAGCTGATTCTTCATCAAAACCATGGAAGCCACGAGACGGTGGGATGATAAATTCAAACTGCTGAAAAAAAAATGTCAACCACGAATTCTATATCCTGAAAAAGTTCTGGAGATTGGCTGTACAACAATGTGAATATACTTAACAATACTGAACTGTACATTTAAAAACAGGATGGTAAATGGGGTGCCTGGGTGGCTGAGTCGGTTGAGCTTTCGACTTTGGCTCAGGTCATGATCTCACGGTCCGTGAGTTCGAGCCCTGCATCTCGCTCTATGCTGACAGCTCGGAGCCTGGAGCCTGCTTCGAATACTGTGTCTCCCTCTCTCTCTGACCCTCCCCCGTTCATGCTCTGTCTCTGTCTCAAAAATAAATAAACATTAAAAAAAAAGTTAAAAAAAAAAAAACCAGGATCAGGATGGTAAGATTATAAGTTAAACACATATGTTACATGTATTTTATCACAATTAAAAATATATTTTAAAAAAGAAAGAAATTAAGACCTTACAGATGAACAAAAACTGAAGGAGTCTGTCACTAATAGACCAGCCCTACATTTAATTGTTACAGGAATTACTTTAGGCAGAAATGAAAAGACAATGGACAGTAACTCAAAAGTATGCAAAGAAATAAAGAACACTGGTAAAAGTAGCTACATAGGTAAAAAACAGTAATTAAAATTTCAGTTTGTAAATAATCTTTTTTTCCCCTATGTGACATAAAAGCCACTTTATACACTGTAGAGACAACCTATGACTACAATTAGGAAAAAAATCAGTAAACTGAAAAATGAAATTAAAACACTGAGATAAAACAACAATGTTTATACAACTAAGTGAGATCTCTCACACTTTATTCTAAATCAGAATACCTCTAATTTGTATGTCATATGAAAAAGATCCAGAATTGAGCTCAAATCCAAGCACACTGAGAAGCAAAGTCTAATACAAAAGATCACCAGCCAGAAAGTCAAAATATCTGAAGCAGTGTATTGTCAGCCCTACTAATAATTCTCAATGTTAGCAACTTTTCTGGGTCTTGAGTTACCCCATTTTGAAATGGGAAGGATATGACAATATTATAAGAATTTATATGAAAAAAAAATGGTTGCCTTAAAAACCTTAATTCCTTAAAAACCAAAGTAGTAGGCAAATTCAAAGTATCATCATTATTATTACTATCAGCATGGATAAGCAGTTTCCTTATTTACCTGATGATGTTGGATGTTTCTTATGTTGCATGAAAAATTCTGGTAGAGCAGAAACTTATCAACGTCTTTCTCATTTACTTTTTTTGAGGACACCTTCGCCAGAGATGACTGGATGCAAATATACCTATTTTGGCACCTGTTCAGATAAATATGCACAAAACAAGCAGTTACAAATATACTTTATTAATGTAAAATTAACAAAAAAAAGTTAAGGCATAGTTATTACTATGCCTTAGTAAAGAAACACCTTTTATGGAAATAACGTTAGCAAAAACTTAAGCCATTACCAAATGAAAAATTTTTAAATGATGCCCAACTATAAAAATGTACTGACCCATCAAAAGAGGACTCTGCCCATTCATGCTAGCATAGGTCCTCCAGAGCTATGTCTATATCAATCCTCCTATAAAATGCCTATGTCAGTTCAGATACCATCTGGTATCTACAGATACCAGATTGGTAATTCTAGTCTAGATATCTTTCCTAACCACTGAGTGAAGCAGTCAGAGCCCAGTAAAAGCTAAAAAGAAGGGAAACAAGAGGATGTGGTGGGACAGCTTCCAATGACAGGCCAAATTCAGCAGTGTAATTACTTACAAAAACACAATTAAAATCCGGGCAGTTCTCCTTCTCTGACTCATTCCTACTAGGGCCACTGAGGAAATAGGAAAGTTCTCTCCCTTGGATTAACAAAAACCCTGACAAGCGATGGTAGTCACGGGTTCATCTCCCCCTTCCTCTCCTCTGCACACCTCACTCAGCCAGCGATGTGGAGAAAGAGTAAGAGCATAAAGGTTTTTGCTGGAAAACCCTGTCTTGCCTGCTGATAGACAGCTGAAAAATATATTAAAACAGGGTTTTGAGATATCTTTCTTTAATGAGGCATAAAATCCAAAGGCCCAAGTAGGGCTTAGGTCATGAGGTTTTAATCTCTTATAAATTGGGACTGTGATACCATGGATAAGCTGCTCTCTCCATCAGCTGAAATTCATTTTGAGGTCAACACTTTTATCTTCACCTGATATTAAAGTTAAATGATATTATATAATACATGTATAGTACACACATCACATATGTTCACAAAGCATGCCACCCACTCTAAATGAACATGGATCTCTCTAGCACACGCTGTGTAACCACGCAATAGTTTTTAAACTGTTCCTCACAGCCCTCCATTGAGTTTCAGTGTAAGGAGGATGAGCAGGCAGAGTTCCAGGCGCCCTGCCTAGAATTCAATTAAAGCAACTTTACTTTTATCTGTTTTATGTATTAGGGCTCTGCTGCTTGAACAAAGAGTTCTGCTACCAAAAAACAGTCCAAAAATAAAGTTTTTAATGAACACTGGTGTTAGCACTAACCATATGACCCTTACCAGCATGAGTCCACAAAGCAGAGAACTCTATAAAAGAGTTACTCACAATTTCCGAATGAAGTCAAGCGTGTCTTTGTCTTTAGCAATCATGTCTGCTAAAATATGCTGCACTCCCGTTTCAATATCCTGGAGTGCTGAAAGTCCTTTAAGAAATGGGTAAGAGGGAAAACAAAAGCAAGAACTACAGATTGGTTTTTTTTTTTTTAATCTATAATTAAATCACAATAAATTTATTCCAGTCAAAATAAACCCTTAAACGGAAAAACTTAAGACAGAAAAGTATCATAGCACTGACCACTTTACCTCTGAAAAAAAAGTAACAAGTCTCCAAAGCAAGAATACAGGACCTTTACATACCATATAACCTAATGGTGAAAAATGCAACTCTAGAACCATCTACCTGGTCTAATCCTAGTTCACTACTTACCAAATGTCTGACTTTGGGCAAGTAACTTGACCTCTCTGTGCCTCAGTTTCCTATAAAAATGCAAAAATAATAGTACCTACTTCACAAAGTATTTACAGAGGTTAAATGTATTATGGGAAATATGTATTAACAGAGTCATAACCTAAGATATACCACCTCATACCACTTAGAAAAATTATCCTTTACAAATAGTAATTTTATTAATATTCCTATTTTGACTTCTGAGGCGTTTACTCACATTTAAAAAAAAATTTTTTTTTTCAACGTTTATTTATTTTTGGGACAGAGAGAGACAGAGCATGAACGGGGGAGGGGCAGAGAGAGAGGGAGACACAGAATCGGAAACAAGCTCCAGGCTCTGAGCCATCAGCCCAGAGCCTGACGCGGGGCTCGAACTCATGGACCGCGAGATGGTGACCTGGCTGAAGTCGGATGCCTAACTGACTGCGCCACCCAGGCGCCCCCGTTTACTCACGTTTTTAATGACCCACTTGAATTTCTCAAATCTCAGGAGCACAAAACAAGAGCTATTTGTGATTGTTCATCTATTTCATAGTTGAACTGTCTACCAATGGTGCGTTATGTTCTTTCTAAGTGCTTCCGGTTTGCTAATTTATAGCAGTGACTCTTGAACATTATAGCCCCTGTGATATCAACTTCTATATACATTGAGAGAAATCATCTGCATTGCCTTCTTCCGTTTCTTCTATCTTAATTGTTCTATCTCCATTAAAGCTTCTTATTTTTTTTACATTAAAGCTTGAGTTACACAAGCACTAAGTATCATTAGGTTTTTCTGAGAGCATAATTTTAATGAGTAATAGGTACAAAAGACGAAGAGAACAGGAGGACAGACTTATGGAGACATTAATAAAGAGAAATGCGTTGTTGAGTTTTGTTATAACTAATCTTGAGTAACTACATTTATTTTAAAGGAATTTAACGATTAAAATTAATACAAATTCTGTTTACATTTTAAGAGAATTTCCCCATGAGGGGATTTTCAGGAGTGAATTACCTTTAAGAAGTAGAAGGCTATTTATGTAAATGACCTAGAACAACTGTGACATACAGTAAGCAGTCAATAAATGTCTGTTCTTGGTGAGCTATCTCCCTAGATCAGTCTTCATCTTAGAAAAACAGTCACTATGCAATAACTCCTGGAGTCCCAACCACCTCACAGCATCATTACACAAAGTTTAATGAGAATACCAGGGTGATAAGTGAAAAGTGAAGATGGAACCCATCTCCAATAACAACCATCGATGAGAGAGAACAGAAAGAGGAAGTTATAGATTTTGCTATTATAACAAAAGACCTCTGAAAAGCCCCCATCATTTTGGGTGAACACAATTTGTAAAGTTTTTATAATTAATAAATCTTATATAATTAAAATTATGCTAGAGCTCTAGAGCAATGTTTTTATAGTCTAAGAACCCCAGAATACAATCATACTAGGTACCTGTTACAAACACAGATTCCTAGGCTTTGGGACTTTTGTGTTACAGAGCATCCCAGATAATTCTGATAAGCTCATTCAAGTTTAAGGAAAAAAAAAAAAACAAACAAAAAAAAAACCAACACTGCTGGGGAGGTGCCTTGAACTCTTAGAGCAGTGGTTCTTAGTGGGAGGTAGAAATTATCAATCACTGGACTCATCCAAATTACATAAGCCCTCTCAAGAGAAAAGACTGGAAAAGAGTCTTGTGTGTTTGAAAAAGCACCTTCTTCCATCAGAAAGACTCGGTCATTGGGGCTTAATACAGCCAAGAATAATGTAAGTCCACAAAGGTTAGCACCTCAATGAAAGCAGGAGAAAATAAGGACTACAGGAGTCAAAAATCTTATTTCCTTTCTTGTAGTGAAAGCTTTCCAGCCACAGATTCTTCAAAGCTCCACAAATGTAACAAAAACTGAAGGACCAACATTTCTTTCACTTTATCTGCACTAAGGCTACCTCTTCTGTACAACAGAGCAATCAGCTACTTCTCTTCGTAAACAAAACAGGGATATTCTGGAAATTCTAGGATGTATTCCATTTGTGGCATCTATATGTTTCTGATTCAGATCAAATTCTTGTTGGTCTGTGGCAAGAAGTGTCTTCTACTTCACACTGAAATATCTGGTTTCTTAGACATTTCTTTGAGAAATGATGGGAATGATGAAAATACTTCTTTAGAGAAACAATAAGAGATCTGAGGGTGATCATGAGTCTGTAGATAACCTAAAAGAGCAAAGAAAAGAACACTCCAAGCGAACTTTAAAAACCAGTACCTAGATTGTTTGGAGTTAATTATAATTCTTTGACATTTATGATAAGAGTGAAAGAAAAAGGGAATAAAGCAAACAGGAAGTCCAATACATGTGCTAATACTACATTAGCTGCAATAAGCCTTGACCGATCCGCATTATCAGAAGTATCACCAAGTGTCATCACCATGTAGTCCATGAGCATCACTACATATAGCCACTCAGAGATACAGTTATCAAACCTATCCAGTAGGAATTTAGTATATGAGTGAACTAAGGAAAACTTTGTACCAAAGGAGGTGAAAGGAAAAGAAATCGACCATAAGAGAAAAATAAGAACAGACAACAAAACTTTACGCATCTGATATTCCGAAAACTCCAACATTTGATTCTAAGAAAACCTACTATCACTGGCCAAGAAAGTTCCCACAGTGGCTGACCTTCATGCTTGTCTATACAGTCTCAGCTACTATTAAAACATTAAATTTGCAATCATTTGAAAATCTAAAAAACACACGTTAAAAAAGTAAACAGGGGGGCGCCCGGGTAGCTCAGTCGGTTAAGCGTCCGACTTCGGCTCAGGTCGTGATCTCCTGGTCCGTGAGTTCGAGCCGCGTGTCGGGCTCTGTGCTGACATCTCAGAGCCTGGAGCCTGCTTCAGATTCTGTGTCTCCCTCTCTCTCTGGCCCTCCCCCACTCATGCTCTGTCTCTCTCTGTCTCAGAAATAAATAAACATTAAAAAATTAAAAAAAAAAATTAAACAAACTTCACTTTTACTCATTTCAACCCATCTCTAAACACAAATAATACTAATTTGCTTTTTCTTTTAATTATTGCCTTTTTCGAAACAGAGATTAAGATAAGTGTATTTGTATGTGAACAGACATATGGAGTTTTACAGACACTCATCCTTAATTATTTAATAACAAACTCACACTGCTGAATTGTTTAAAAGGAACACAGGTTACAGTATGCTAGGATTCTCTACAGTGTAGTAGTACATACTGTGGAATTTCTTATCAGAGACTGCCCCCTATAGACACTTAAGTCTCCCAGCCTAAAGAATCAACAGAAGGCCAAAGAAACTAGAATGAGTGCAGGAATTAGGAGAGCACCAATCTCCCCATCCCATCCTGTCAGAGCACTCCCCCAAAAAAGCCGTGCTTACTCAAAGCTCTCACTCTAGGGTTTATTTCGTCAATAAAACCAATGTATCCTGACATGCATCAGTTGTCACTTTCCTTGGGTTTTTCTTAGAATTCTCTCTCTTACCCTCTTCCCATCTCATTCTCTCTTGTGCACACACACACAAAAGGAGAGGAAGATACACTTCAGAAAAAAGAAACTTTACACCTGGAGAGTAGAAGTGTGGAAGCAGGCCTTCACTTTATAACTCATGTATGTCAGAATCATTGAAATTCTTTTTAAAGAATACATACAACTTTTGTAATTAAATAATTTTTTAGAAACAGAGTATTTTAAAAGATAATATAGGACATTCTTTATAACACTGGGATGTGAAAAAATTATTTAAAAAGGAAAAGAAAGCAATTATCTTAAAAGAAAAGGTTAGCAAAATTGACAAGATTAATAATTCAACTACAAAATTAAGATCTTCTATTTTCTTTTTATTTAATAGACAGCATAAAGAAAGTGAAAAGAGAAGTTACAAACTGGGAGATAAGATTTATAATACACATAACTGAGAAAGAGTATCTTAAAAAGTACTTATAAATTAATAAGAAAAGAGAAACAACAACACAAAATAAAAATGGGCAAAAGACTAGAACAGGCACTTCATCAAAAGAAGAAGCTGGATGGCTAAGCAGGAGGTATATGGGGATTTGTTTTATTAGAATTATTTATTCTTTATATGCTATAATATTCTTTTGCATAGTCATTACTTAATGAAATTTTTTTTTAACATAGTTTTCAAATTTGGAAAAAAAGAAAAAGAAAAAGAAACAGGGATGATCTCTTGAAGTAAAGCTGGTACCTTTTACATTGGGTTTAATGTAAGATAGCAGATTGAGCTGCCCTGGATTCTCAAGCAGTGTCCTGGCTGCTCCTTCTAATCCCAACTGCTTTGCTCTCTGGGCTTTAGTGCCTTTGCTCCCAGTTTTATATGGAGCTGACTGCAGGGGGAGGAAAAAAAAAGTCAGAAAATACACCACACCATTCAGTGTTAAAAAGCAAAAGTTAAAATTAAAACACACAATTAGAAGACATGGTGGGGAGGCTAAAGACATCCTTTTCTCAACCCTTCAGAGACAAATTAATACTAACCAGAGACTACTAGCTATACAAAGATGGTTGTTCCTCATCTGATTCTTTATACTTTTCTACACACTTGACATTAGGCATTTATTTGTATTCACTCATCTCAAAAACAGTGCCAGGGGCACCTGGGTGGCTCAATCGGTTAAGCATCTGACTTCAGCTCAGATCATGATCTCGAGGTCCATGAGTTTGAGCCCCGCGTCAGGCTCTGTGCTGACATCTCAGAGCCTGGAGCCTGCTTCAGATTCTGTGTCTCCCCCTCTCTCTCTGCCCCTCCCCTGCTTGCACTCTGTCTCTTTCTCTCTCATTATATATTAAGTAAATATTTAATATTTATTTATTTAAAAAAAAAAACCTCAGTGCCTGGACAGAAAGAACTGTAAGACCCTCTCCTCAACCCAAGGGAGCTCCTCTAAAAGCTGCAAATACACAATGCTTCCACTGCCTAAGGCACATTCACTCCTCAATCTGAGCCATCAGACTTCTCTGCCCACACATCTTGCTGAAAGTCGTAACCCAAAGAACCACAATGATCCCCTAATTACCAAATATACATCTTTCAGTCCTCACCTTGCCAAGCCTCACTGCTACATTTACTTACTTAACTGCTGATCCTTACCTCCTTCTAAGACTCTCTTCCCTAGTCTTCCAAGATGTCATCATCTCCTGATTCTCCTCTTATTTCTCTGACCATTCTTTCCATGTCTCCGTCTTCGGCTCACCCTTCCTCCACCCGTGCTTCAAAAGTTAGTGTTCCTCAATGGTCTATCTTGACCTGCTTACCCACAAACTCTCCCTGAGTGAAATCTTCCATTCTCTTGGTTATAAATACCAACCACATGCTGAAGACGCTCACAGCTAGGTCTCCAGCTCAGCATTCCCCCTTAGGCTTCCCAATTCAATTCCATAACCTACTTTCATTTGCCCCCCACTTAACTGGAAATGCCTTGGAGACAAGGACTGCGTATCACCTATCTTAGAAAACACAAAAAAGCATTTGATAGATATTTATTGAATAAAGAATAAACACCTTGTTGAATTAAATAACGGTGGCTGATGATTTTAGCTTTTTATTTCCAGATCTTTTATAACTATAAAAAGATCCATATAATTATATACTTAGGTAGGTATTATATTAAAAGATTAAAAGAGTTTCTTACCACATGTTCTAGTTCTTCAAAAGTTTTACAGTTCAGTAAGGCTTTTAACAAGCACTCAGACATCTTCCCCTCCTTCTTAATTTTTTGGATTGTACTATGAACCTTCTTTGCAACAGCCCTGAAAATAAAAACTTTCATAATATACAAGACTTCTATGTCAAAACATCCTTTATGAAGCTGTCTCAAACTTACAACAAACTTGTAGGGGAGATAAAAACATTTTTGCCCTCTGAACCATTTGAGGATAAGTTACCTTCACCCAAATACTTTAGTGTATGTTTTCTATAAACAAGAATCTCCTCCTATGTAACAATATAGCCATCAATCACTTCTTGGCCTTTTGGCTAAGATCAAGTGTAGTACCATATAGCCATCAAAATCAGGTAATGGGTATTGATATATTACTATATTCTAATCCTCAGACCTCATGTAAGTATCACCAAGTATTTCCATAATGTCCATGATAGTGAATTCAGTTAAGAGTGGGTTGTATGTAACTGCCATGTGTCTACAGTCTCCTTCAAGCAGAAACCGTATTTCAGTCTCCCCTTGATTTTTAGAGCCTTGATCCTTTAGAATGTTACAGGCCAGTTGTTTTGTAGAATGTCCTACACTTTTGAGTTTCTCTGATGTTTCTTCACAATTTGATTCAGATGGTCTATCTCTGGCCAGGAATATTGTAATAGAGTAATGCCATGTTCTTATCACTACATCCTGTTAGGCAGCAAATAATTTTCATTTGTACTATTACTTATCACTTTAGATCATTTGATAGTGTCTGTGGGTTTCTCGACAATGCAGGCACTCTATTTCTCTGTAATTAAGTATTTTGTGGAGAGGTGCTCTGAAACTATTTAATTATTCCTTCCTTACTAAACTCTCAATTTATTCACTAATTTATTTATATCACCATGGACTCATGATTTTTTTATAATCCATTACTAACACTTATTTTGATGCTCAAATTGTTCCAAATTTGACCAGAAGTAACCTCTTCAAGCTAGTTTCTGTGTTCTTTTGACATGTCCCCATCATTCTGTGAGTACTTCCTTATTCTCTGGCACAAGATACTCCAGGCTTTTACTTTCTCTGCCCCGGCCCTGCAATCAAACGAATAGTACATAGAAACCAAGTTATGGGTGCTAGATGTGCTCACTGCTACTGGGTATCACCACTCAGGCTCAGCATGCATAACATCCATCCATAACTGGTTTCTAAACACAGTTCTCCAATGGAGAGAGCCAGGATACCACAGAGAAAAAAGCTGATACCAAGAATCGAAGTACAGGTAGGGGCAAAGGCACAGTTGTTCCACCACTTTATGATGATTTTGTACTGTGAATGTACAATCTTATCATTATATTTAGCAACTGAAATTGCTAAAATAATAGAAAAAAATTAGATGACAATATACATTATTAGAAATGGTTGATGGAAAAAAATTAAATCTACTTATGAAAAAAGAAAAAAAAAAGGAGAGAAGATGGTAAATTAAAGAGGAGGCACATGAGTTCTTCGATTACAATCGATGTATCTTTTACAATCCTGGTAACCCAAGACTATTTTTAGGGGCTGAAGCCCACCAGGGTCATTTTGACAAAAGGCCAATGAACTACTGGTCTTCATATAGAAAGGAGGAAAGGCATCTTTAGAGAAAATTCAGGAAGTTTTTCTTACTATCCATAATCAACCTCTTTCATTCACATTTTTAACAGAGACCATCAATAAAACATATTTTTTACTTTGCAATCTGGCATATATTATATACACATATATAATTTCATATATAATAAAATTACATAAACATAATATAAATATATATAGTAAACAGTTATATAAACGTATGATAAACAGTTTCATAAAACACTATTTACTTTTACTACATAAACTGCGTCTTACATTTTCTATTCTTTATTTCATTTTTGTTAAAGTGGTAATGACCTACTAAATTAGTTTCACTACTCCTTTACTGGTAGCAATTAACAGATTGAAAAAGCAGTGCTCCAGGGATAGAAAATGCTGAGCTTAAAAAAAAATGAAGACCATAACTCGTTACCAAATCTCTATATAATATAAAAAGATCTTCCAAGCCCCAGTCAATGCTCTCACTCACTCAGAGAACTATTCTTCTACTAATATTCAATATATTTCACTATTAATAGATACCCAGAGAATTAACTCTTTTGCAGAAGTTATTCTATAGATAAAGAAAAAATAATAATAATCTTGACATAAAGTTTCCATTTGTTCCCCATACAACCAAATATTATTAGAATACCTTTAATTTTTAAAACAAACTATTCTTGCTTGTTTGTGACACTTTCCCCAACTTCAGATCCCCAAATCCTCAGATTTTCCTCATTACCTTGCCTTCACCTAAATAGAAAGCTTCAGAATTTATAAACTACTGACCTTCTACATGTGGCCTGTAGATGGTTTTGTTTGACCCAGAAATTTTTTACATAAAAACTCAGATTAAGGGTTCTTTTAAAAAATAGGACAAGCTGTCAAACTGGGTAGACAAGTCTGCATGTCAGTAATCTGCTGGAGTAGAGGGGCAGCAGTTAGAAGTCTGGGTCTCCAGTTCATATCCCTTGATGCCTTATTATACTAACCTGGTCCTAGAAGACTTGAATCTGATTAACTAGTGATTTATACCACTGAGCTGGTTAATTGATTTGCCTCTCAATGAAATGTAACTCTCCACAATTAGCATTTTAATCCTCCTGGCACTAAAAGAAAGTCAACAAAAGATGTAGAAATAAATGCTAGTGAGTTGCAAGTTCCCCTGAAATCACAGGAAGGTCATTAGGCTTGTTGTAAAAATAACCTTTAGCACTTTTAGAATGGCTTGCTGGTAAGACTATATACCTTGTCATAAAGTTGAAGAACACACCCACTGATATCACAGTGGCTGGCATGTAAGAGACATGCAATAAATGCAGAAATGGTGAAGAGTGTTTTAATAAACTCTACTAAAAATTACAGTTAATCTGATAGTCTTTGTATGCTTATTTCTGAGTTATTACAGTAAGACCAGAGTAATAATTTTTTAAAGGGTGCTTTTCATTCTATAACTACACAAAACGTAAAACCCATTAATATCAAACTACCATGCCCTTTAAAAGAACAGAAAAAGGAAATAGACATATTTCCCACCAAACTCTATACTGCCAAAAAATCTCTCCATTTAGGGATTTTATAGTTTTAAGAGGGAAGTTTTAAATAAGCTGTTGAAGATTCAGACTAAAATGTACTTTTCATTTGTACTATTACTTATCACTTTAGATCATTTGATAGTATCTGTGGGTTTCTCCATGGTGCAGGCACTCTATTTCTTTGTAATTAAGTATTTTGTGGAGAGGTGCCTTTCTCCTTTTGTGGAGAAGTGTCCTTCCTTTGCCGTTATGCACAGTCATTTCTGAGAGAATATGAGGTCAAACTCTCAGGTGCACACTTTTAATGCAAAGCTCCTTTCTCCCCATGTGCACTCAAGCTATGCACAAACACTCCAGCAGAGGGAGTGCACACCTAAATAAGGAAAACAGCTGACTTTTCTCTGTCAGAAGATGACTATATTCAGACTATTCAAGAAAATAAAACAGCGTAACTGCTGAAATACACTGCCATTCACTTCCTCACTGTTTCTCCTCACTGGCTCATGGGCTCTCTTTCCACTCACAGTACATTCATCCCTTCCCAGGTTTCTTACCGGAGCTCCTCTAGGGTTTGTCGAACTTCTCTCAAGGAATCAGCATCAAGGTTATTAATGAGTTCTTTTCGATACCGTATAATGAAGGGAATTGTGTTATCGTCATTAAAGAGACGAATAATGTTGGCACAAACCCAAAGTTCAATATTAGTTCTCTCAGATAAAACCTGCAAATTAAGGATACGTAGTTATTTAAAATTCTGAAAATTACACATCTATATTGTAACGTATGGTTTAAATATAGCATGAAATAATCGTTCTCCAGTCACTTAGAAACTACTTGCTGTGGTTTAAAAAAATACACATATGTACTGGCAACCATAAACTAGTCAGTTTACTAATTCAATAAAATCCAATCAAAGCCACTCTGTAAACAAGAGTTTCTTTCTTTCTTTTTTTTTTTTTTGTTTCTTTCTTATTCCAGCCAACATCATCTTCCACCATAGAAAGCCTCAGGAATATTATGGCTATCTCCTCCAACAACACCTTCTCATTATGTAGCAGCCATGCGGCTTGAGAGCACTTGACCTCAACTCTACCTTCACAGCATTTTGTCCACAAATATAACACAGTTGTTTTATAACTGACAGCCAGACGGGCGCCCGGGTGGCTCAGTCGGTTAAGCATCCAACTTCAACTTAGGTCATGATCTCGCGGTCCGTGAGTTCGAGTCCCACATCAGGCTCTGTACTGACAGCTCAGAACCTGGAGCCTGCTTCGGATTCCGTGTCTCAGTCTCTCTCTGTCCCTCCCCCACTCATGCTCTGTCTCTCTCTCTCTCTCTCTCTCTCTCTGTCAGAAATAAATAAAACATTTAAAAAAAATGACTTTTATAATTGACAGCCAGAGTGTGGCCAGAAAGATTAGTCCAGTCAGCATATAGCTCAAAATCTAGGTTCAACTCCGGACCCAGGTACAATTTCTTCTTCTGGAGAAACACAGCTTGTACATGTTAAGACTCCTGAAGCTGAGGATGGCAGCGCTAAGATAATCGTGGAAAGACTGTTTCAGTGCAATGACTAAACTTTCTTATTATACAGGTTAATAAATCTTCTTTATTGCTTAAGCTAGTTTGAGATGGGTTTTCTCTTATTGCAACCAAAAGCATTCTAATCAATGTCCTCAGTATCGCTGTGTGTTCTCTATCATGACCATCTCATCTGTCACCAAGGAAGCAAACTGAACTTCTAAAATGTCTTTTCTTTCCTCTCGAGTTCCCTTTCTGCTAATATCATTATTTTATCTGAACCACAGAGCAGTTTTGTTTTTTATGCCTTCCACTCAGCCTCTGCATTACTGCTGATATTTCTATGCATTTTTTAAATGTTTATTTATTTATTTTGAGAGAGAGAGAGAGAGAGCGCGCGCACACATGCAAGTGCATGCAAGCAGGGCAGGGACAGAGAGAGAGGGGGAGAGAGAATCCCAAGCAGGCTCTGCACTGTTAGCACAGAGCCCAAGGCAGGGATCCACTCCCACAAACTGTGAGATCATGACCTGAGCTGAAATCAAGGGTGGGACACTTAAGCAACTGAGCCACCCAGGAGCCCCTGATTATATTTCTAAAACATAGACATAATGAATTCTGTATTTTTTTCTCTTTTTTTTCTTCTGAACACAGGCTCCAATGACTCTTATCTACCTACTGGTAAAAGTCCAGCCACTGTGGCACAGTTTTAAAATCCCTTCCCAAGTGTGGTTCCAAATATCACTATTCTAGGGGCGCCTGGGTGGCGCAGTCGGTTAAGCGTCCGACTTCAGCCAGGTCACGATCTCGTGGTCCGGGAGTTCGAGCCCCGCGTCAGGCTCTGGGCTGACGGCTCAGAGCCTGGAGCCTGTTTCCGATTCTGTGTCTCCCTCTCTCTCTGCCCCTCCCCCGTTCATGCTCTGTCTCTCTCTGTCCCCAAAATAAATAAATGTTGAAAACAAATAAAAACAAATAAAAACAAATAAAAACAAATATCACTATTCTAAAGGAGTAAACAATCTAGAAGGGAGAACAAACGTTAATGTAAATAAGTACAAATAAAACAGGATGTGCCAGTGATATAATGTTTTCAGAAAAGAGAAAGGTAGTCAAGAAAGACTTTCTCCAGGGGTAGTATTTCAGCTGGCCCTTTCTTAAAAGATAGGCCAGATTCTGAAAGATAGATTGGAGAAATGAAAATGACCAAAATATTCATTATTTTGGAACCATGTGATTGTTACAGCAACCTACAGGTTCCCACTACCCTAAACTACCTCAGCTACCGTTAACTGAAAGGGGCTCCAACTCAGTCCAACTTCCACATCTGGGTCATACTAGGTCCTAACAAATCCAGAAGCATCATATGTGTTAAGGGAGCGTATGCTGCTGCTTGTATAGATTTGCTCCTTGAAATTTAAGACAAGAGAACTCCCTCCATAAGCAGTCACCACGCTTGGGCCTCCAAATCACCCAATTTCTTCTGTCTTAATTTAATCAAACGTTTATTTTATTTTTTTTTTAATTTTTTTTTTTTTAACGTTTATTTATTTTTGAGACAGAGACAGAGCATGAACGGGGGAGGGTCAGAGAGAGAGGGAGACACAGAATCAGAAGCAGGCTCCAGGCTCTGAGCCATCAGCCCAGAGCCTGACGCGGGGCCCGAACTCATGGACCGTGAGATCGTGACCTGAGCCGAAGTCGGACGCTCAACCGACTGAGCCACCCAGGCGCCCTCAAACGTTTATTTTAGCTCATGTTATATGCCAATAACCATACCAAGCCAGTGAAAATCAAATGTAAAAAACCAAGTCCCTCTTCCCAAGGAGCTTACAAGCTAGAAAGAAGACAGACAAGTTGAAATATAGTGTGATCTGTACTCTGACAGAAGCACATATGGATTGTTTTAAGAGCAAACGAAAGGTAGAAACATCTAACTCTGCAGCGATGGAAAAGCACCAAAGAGAATGAAAGTATCTCCAGGCAGCCAATAGGGGCAGGAATTCCAGGAAGAGAACAGCATATCAAAAGCCACTGATGAGAAACCACTGCACATTTTAACACTGCTGCAAGTTCAGGGGCGCCTGGGTGGCTCAGTCGGGTGAACATCTGACTTCAGCTCAGGTCATGACTCGCGGTTCGTGGGTTTGAGCCCGCATCGGGCTCTGTGTTGACAGCTCAGAGCCTGGAGCCTGCTTCGGATTCTGTGTCTCCCTCTCTCTCTGCCCCTCCCCCGCTCATGCTTTGTCTCTCTCTCTCTCTCTCTCTCTCTCTCTCTCTCAAAAATAAATACACATTAAAAAATTTTTTTTTAATTGCTCTAAGTTCAGCAATGCTAAAATGTACAAGGGGTATTGAGATGAGGTGAGAAATGGAAAGGTGGATGGAGATAGGGGACGAATTCCATATAGGTTTGAACATTATTCTATACTCAACAGTAACCCACTCAATAATGATCTGCTCATTACTGAATTGCAGTTGTTGAGTCAATCCCCCTATGAACCCTGTGACATTTACGAGCCAATGAGATCTGTGGACTAGAGCAAGTGGCTCACAATGTGTTGTCCCCAAACCAGTAGCATAAGCATCACCTGGGGACTTGTCAGAAATGCAAATTCTTGAACGCCACCCAGATCCACTGAACCAGAAACTCTGAGTGGGGCCCAGAAATCTGTGTTTTAGAAGAACGAGGTGAACAACAAAGACATAACTAAAGGAGTTAAAAGCAGAGACCAAACCTTAGGGATAGGTAGGGGTAAGGCAGAGAACTACTATAGTTTTTACTTTTAAACTATTCACATTTACTAATATCTAATAATGTTTATAGTTAACTGGTGGATAAGACTGAGAGTAAAGTAAAAAGGAAGGCAGTCTCAAGATTTTTTTCAACCCTAACACTTAAATAATAGAAGCACCTTTTGTGACTGTCATTTGAAGCTAACACTTGAATAGGGCTTATTATGTTCTAAACATTTTCACTTATTCAGCATTAATTCAAATTATATGATAGGTATTAGTGCTCCCATTTTAGAGACAGAAAACCTGAGGTCCAAAAAAGTTAAATTGCCTAAAGTTCCACAAGCTATATTACCTTTTCAAAAATCTGATGTGTGCAAAGCAAGATGATTTTTTCAGGCAAAAATATAAATTAATCAAACATCCTCACTTCTCTTCCTGAATCCCACTAGAGATGAAACATGGTGCCTTCATACTGCCCTCTGGTGTCTAAAACTTCCAACAAAATGGACTTCTCCCAGTGTCCTGAGATTTACTTCTCCAAATCTATATTCCCATTCCCTCAGTTAAAAAAGAAAACATCTGGGTATCAACAAACTATAGCTTTAATCACCTGGGCAGCATCTACATTTTAAAAGAACGTCTAAATTAAATTCAACCCTAATGAGAATTGAGAGATGCAATTTTCTACTCAAAATCATCCCCAAATCAGCAGTTGGACACCTCCTTTCTGAAAAGCTTTTGATTCCTGCTGTTCTCTTTACCCTGGTCTATTTATTTTTATTATATCACTTATTTTATCACACACAGGAGCCTCCTTAAAGACTGCAAAAGGAAAAACTATGCTGTTATAATCAATAGTGGTTATAGGAAAGACGACAGGAGACTGGAAAACCATATAGAGTACTGTAGGATGCTGGTAAGGTTCTGTTTCTTGAACTAGAAGCTTGTTACATGGTCACACATTCAAATATTCATGAGCTATACACTTAAGTATAATTTTCTGTATACATACTTCAAAAAGTTTTTTTTTAATTTTTTAATGTTTTTTATTTCTGAGAGACAGAGAGAGAGAGAGAGAGAGAGAGAGAGAGAGAGAGAGAATGAGTGGGGGAGGGGCAGGAGAGGGAGACACAGAATCAGAAGCAGGCTCCAGACTCTGAGCTGTCAGCACAGAGCCCGACATGGGGCTCAAACCAACGAGCAGCACAATCACGACCTGAGCTGAAGTCAGATGCTCAACCGACTGAGCCACCCAGGCACCCTTCAGTTTTTTGAGGTTTTTTTAAAGCCCATCACAAATACCAGATGAATTAAAGAAACAAAAAGGGCTAATTCCATTGTTGTACTGAATCTCTCCTGGAACAACAGGTAACCTAATGGGTGGTGTGTGCTTATGTGCAAAACTACAGTGAAAAAGCCAATTTAGAGACACCCACCTCCTTCCTGTCCCCCTTCTATCCCAGTTTTGTCATCCCATCATCCTGATCATTTCCTGCAAGAAAAATGGCTAATAAAGAGGGTTGGCTTGCTTTTCCTACCTAATTTAGCAAACTTTACTAATATATTACATGTGGCTGTTCTACTCACCTACTTCCAGCCCCCTCAAAATAAAGAAACTATATAATAGCAATCACCATTTTGAAGCATTTAATTTTTCTCAAAAATTGGTTGTAGTTAGTCACCTCTTCAAACTCTCATAAAGGTCATGGTGTTTATATTATATTTGCATAATGATATAATGTGTTTAACAAAAACCAGTTTCTGATAGTGACCACACATTTGTAGTTTTGGGGAAAGGGCTGAAGAATAGGTTGCTTCTGCTCAAGGGATCCAGAGATCCCCAAAGCCTGATTAAGAAATGGACACAAAGTATGTTTCTAATGAAGTCTATAAATAACTTAAGTACTTAAGTAAAGGCAATGCAGTTTTCCGTCCCCAAACAAGATGGTGATGTCCTGAAAAATCAGTGGACTTTTCAGAGTTGAGAAACACACCACGAAGGGAAAAAAACAGAAGGTCATGGTGTCATGGTGGGCAGGAGCCATGGGGAACAGCACACAAAATGAAAGAAATATAAAAGTTCAATTAGTAATGATTAATAATCTCTATATAATTAATTTCCATTGACCATTCCTTACTAAGTATTTTTCAGGATTTCCCAAAGACCTTGGCCATATATTGTGTCCTGTGGCAGATAATATGCATATCAAAGCCATTTCAATGAGTCTGGTCCTCACCCACAGGTTCAAGGCCTTCCTGATCATCAGACTCAGCACTGGTCAATCTCACTCTTCTCAATCCCCTCTCCCCTAACACCTGCCACTGTTGTCAACCATGTTTGGAAGCAGGAATGCAATGCCAAGATAAAATTATTCTCTGCTGCTTATGGGGGAATAAGAAAGGAATGAAAAAGTTCCATATATATCACAAGAATTGTCTGAAAAAGTAACTCAGGGTTGGACAAGGATGACTACATCTGGTTAAACAAAAAACCCAAATGCAAATCACACCTGAAGTTCCCCAGGCAACCCCTAAACCCACCTAGAAAATGCTGAGCTTACTCATTGTCAGAGTGCTCAGTGAAGGTGGCCGCTGTAGCAACCACTTCTCCTAACTCACAAGCAAGGAGTGCCAGATTCCAAGGACACGCTTGTTTGAGCTGTCAAAAATCACTTCCGACAAGGGAGGGGAGGAGAAAACAATGCTTGGAATTGAAAGGAAAGAGAGAGAAGTGAGAAAGTATCTTCCTCAAGTCCTCATGGTTTTCCAATTTCTGGTTCAAGGCCTTTAGGAGACTTGATCACACTTTGTCCCTTACATTCTTTGACAGACCTCGGTGTTCTTGGTAATAAACAAACTCTTTTCATTTTAAACTCATTACAAGTAGTTTTGTATTATTTGTAACCAAGAGACAACTGGGTAAGGCAGGACCATTTTCTTCTCTTTTTCTGTTACATAGATTAGGGGATGGGTGTGAAGCAAGATACCACAGAGTAAGGAGCCCTTAATTTTGAAGAACTTACAACCGCACTTCAAAAGACTTCATCGTCTTTGAAACCTTCCCCCCCTCCCTCCTGCTCACTGTCCACTACTAGAGGCAGATCTGTGTCAATAACAGAAATAAGCTTGTAAGTGTTAGTGAAAGGAAAGTGGGACATATCCACCTGTCCCTGTGAGTCTGGACTGGAACTAAGCAAGGAGTCTGCATTTTAAGAAAGTCTTCACATGAATCGGATACAGGTGGTCCATAAACCATCCTTTTAAAACATTTCTTTGTAGGCTTAAGTGAATAAAGATGGCATACAAAGGAGCCTAATTATACACTGTTTCTCCAAGAAACATTGAACTATTTAGTTGAGGAACAAAGATGAGAAGAAAACTCTGAGGCAGCATCCTATTCCTTAGTGGACCAGAGAAAAGAAAAATCATAATTAAAAATTACTGGCGATGTTCGACTAATAGGTAATAGAAGAGACAGCATGGGTAAAAAAAAAGTTCCTCTGAAGAAAAAGGTAACCCACACACAGTCCCAGGCTGAGAAGCCAGCAGAGGCCCCAGGATGCAGAGCAGTAATTCACAGAAGCAGAAGAAGTTACATCAGAATCACCACAAGACAGGTAAGAAAGAGGGAGGTCATGCCCACCTACCCGGATGGGCACTGCCATAATTAAGTTTGAAATGTCCCCCAGAGTGTGTTGGCACACATAGAAGGTTGAGAATCACTCTTTAAAAGTCACTCTTCAGGTCTTCTCTGCCATCCCCAAAGCCAGTCAAGAAACTGGGAGAAGTCAATGGCAGCTCAAGTTGAAATTCAGATAGAATTTTCCTAAGAAATTTCTAGGCCTTGTTGATAGTATATTACAACATTACATTACGAGTTAGAGATGTACTAATGGCTAATGACCTAATCACTCACCTACTTTTACAGGGAAACACAGGCCAAGTTCAAAACAAAAACTTAACAATTAACTTTTGAAGGCCCAGTCTGTTGGTACAATCTCTCTATAAAGTGCATGTTCAGGGGCGCCTGGGTGGTGCAGTCGGTTAAGCGTCCGACTTCAGCCAGGTCACGATCTCGCGGTCCGTGAGTTCGAGCCCCGTGTCAGGCTCTGGGCTGATGGCTCAGAGCCTGGAGCCTGTTTCTGATTCTGTGTCTCCCTATCTCTCTGCCCCTCCCCCATTCATGCTCTGTCTCTCTCTGTCCCAAATAAATAAACATTGAAAAAAAAAATAATAAAGTGCATGTTCACTCCAACACCATGGCAGAGACCAACCTTGCCTGAGGTCATAGCTCGTAGTTCAAAAGCTGGCGATGATGTGATGATGAGTGCTATAATACACAACGGCGTACCTGGGACAGGAACCAGTGCCCAAAGCCTCCGGAAATCACTGGCAAAACAAAAGAGAACTAAAAACTCCCAACCCTTTCCTTAGCCAGTGCCACTCCTACTTAGTGAAACAGAAAGGAATCAAATGAACTAAAATGCCAGAAAGCAACTGCACATACCTGTACTATGTCCCAGTTCATTTCCACCTCCTCCTTAATATTGGTGGCATTTGCTGGAAGCCTCACAGGCTGCCCTTGGGGACATGTTTCCGTCTTCATTTTCTTTAAAGGGGACTGACCAAATGTAAAGTCATCTCCATTCTCTTCCTTCTTGCACGCACCTTCCCACATGGTGCTTGTGGATGGCATCTCTGCAGCCTCGTGCCCACTCTCCATGGTGCTGGCCCTGTTGCCTTCTTCATCAACTTTTAGCTTTTTGGTCCTCTGACCTGAAGGTGACTGAGCTGAATTTTTCCGTTTTGTCTTTGCTGTTTTCAGAGTCTGCACAGTATCCAACTTATTTTTTCTGTCTTCCAAATCAACATCAGCAATAGCCACAGAGTTATTCTATCAAATGGTAAATAGAACACATGAGAATTAAAAGAGAAAAACTGAATGCTCTGGAATATTATTCAGCAATAAGAAGAAACAAATTATGGTACACACAATAGCTTGGAAGAATCTCAAGGAAACTATGTTGAATGGAGGCGGGGGGAAGGCAATTGCAAAAAGTTACACACTTAATAATTTTACATAATATTAATGATTTATGATTTATATAACATTCCCCCCAAAATTAGTGGTTACTGGGTGTCAGAGACTGGGGTAAGGGTCAGGAGACAGGCGGATGCAGCTACAAAAAGGCAAATATTAGGGGCGCCTGGGTGGCGCAGTCGGTTAAGCGTCCGACTTCAGCCAGGTCACGATCTCGCGGTCCGTGAGTTCGAGCCCCGCGTCGGGCTCTGGGCTGATGGCTCAGAGCCTGGAGCCTGTTTCCGATTCTGTGTCTCCCTCTCTCTCTGCCCCTCCCCCGTTCATGCTCTGTCTCTCTCTGTCCCAAAAAAATAAATAAACGTTAAAAAAAAATTTAAAAAAAAAAAAAAAAGCAAATATTAGGCAATACTAGGGATCCTTGTAGTGATGGAACTGTTCTGGATGGTGGATACACATAGGCATACATGTGATAAAACTGCACAGAACTAAACATACAGATATACACATATAAAACTGGAGAAATCTCATAAGATCCCTGGATTTTATCAATGTAAATATCCTGGTTGTAATATTTTACTATCGTTTTGCAAAATGTTATCACTGGAGGAAATTAAAGGGTACACGGTCTCTGTATTGTTTTTTACAACTGTTGTGAATCTATAATTATCTAGAAATAAAAAGTTTAATTTTTAAAAATGAGTAAAGGATAAGTTTACACGTGCTGGAAAAACCAAGATTTAAAACCTACAATCAAAAGTCAACTCTTTGGGGGAAAAAAGTAACACTCACACACTCATAAAACTCAACAGGCTATACCTGCCACCAATTTATGCAGGCTAGGGAAGAGAAAACATGGCATGACAGCAGAGTAGTGCCAGGAGTTTTTCTTTAGGACGAGTCTGAGTAGCAGTCCACACTAGTGTTCAGGGGCTACTCTCTCAACCGCCCCCAGCCCTCGTGACAGCTCAAGTGTGAAGGAATGATACCTGGCATTCATTTTGGCAATGGAGTGGTAAATAACATATAGACCTTGCCTGTATGGAGTTTACAATTTCACAAGCTAGCCTGTTTGGGGTTGCCTAAGTGATGCAGATGGCACAAACTCAACCAAAGCAAGAATTCCCAAACTATTTTTCAGTCAAAATCCAATTCTCTCTCCTTTATCAAGTATTTTTCCAGAGTTCCTGACTACTGAAAATACTGGAAACTACAATAAAGAGCACCCCTCCCACCACCTAACCTGGAAATGATGCAGCCCTCTGGGTATTACATTTTTAGCTGCAACATAATGGGTAAGAACAGAGATATAAAAATAGAACAAGTCCTAGGTCCATAAGAGTTGATAATAACTCTGATCATATGACTTGACATAGCAAAAGAAAGAAGGTGTCAATCATACAGAGGGCTGTCAGCCACAGAAGAGAAGAAAAAGAGGAACTGTAAAAAGCAAATATGACCAGCATTCTTCTAGGCAAGGTGCAAGGAAGAGGAAAGCTTAGCATACAGATTCTGAGTATTTTGGTCCCAATGGTAAGATAGCCCTCCTGTGAGATGGACAGACTAGACTACCTTAGATATGTGCATTTAAAACATTTGATGTCATTGTGACAAACATAATACCTAGGCCACAGTAGGCATTCAATAGACCCAAAAGAATGGATTTATCTAATTCTCCCAATCTGAATCCATGCTCATCAAGTAAATTTCTGATTCTCATTTAAGTGCCTACTTACTTCAACCTCTGAGGAGTGATGATACCAGTCAGAAAAATGTCATTAATTATTAAACCACTCTTATGAGCACGGCTGATGTAAAACCACCCAAGAGGGATATACTGTTTCCTGAAATGCTGACAAAATCATGTTGCTAACTTAGAAACCCAGTTCCAGGGGCGCCTGTGTGGCTCAGTCAGTTAAGCATCCGACTTTGGCTCAGGTCATGATCTCACAGTTCATGAGTTCGAGCGCTGCTTTGAGCTCTGCACAGACAGCACCAAGCCTGGAGCCTGCTTCAGATTCTGTGTTTCTGTGTCTCCCTCTCTCTCTCACACTCTCTCACACCCTGCTCACACTCTGTCTCTGTCTTTCTCTCTCTTACTCTCTCTCTAAAATAAATCAGATGTCAAAAAAAAAAAAAAAAAAAAAAAAAAAAAAAAAAAAAAAAAAAAAAAAGAAACCCAGTTCCATGACTTATATGTTACCCATGAGCAAGTCACTTAGCATTTCTCACCTTGGCTTTCTCATCTATAAAGTCAGGATAACAACAACAGCATCTGCCTCAATGGGTTGTTGTGAGGATGAAGTAAGCTCATACAATTGAAGTGCTGATCATGTTGCCTCGCTAAGGGTAAGCACTAAAATATCTGTGAACACCACCACTACCACACCTAGACCACCTCCTAGGAGAGGGAAAAGGAAGTAGACAAAAAAACGAAGAAAAAGTAAAATGACTAAGAGGAAAAGAAGAAAAGTCAACAGTCATAAAGACCCTTAAGGGTATCCTCTCTGGAGTCTTTGGGTAAGACTTACCTAGTGTTTCTCAGTTTGTCCATGGACCCCTGGGGGCCCTGAAGCCCTTTCAGGGGGTCTATGAGATCCAACTCCATTCAAAATAACGCTAAGACATTATTTGCCTTTTTTTTTTGACATTCACCGATGGTACCAGAGCAACGGTAGCAACACCCAAAGGCAATGACACAAAGCAGTACTAGCAATCACCGTTCCCTTCACAGCCACACACTCAGAATAAAACAATGTTGAGTTTCACAATGCAGTTAAAAATTACTAATTTTTAAGGTTTCATTCCTTGAAAACACACCTCTTTAATCCTCTATGTTGAACTGGTCAGTCCACGTAAAGCACTTCTGCTGCATGCGGGTGCATACAGATGTGCACCGGTCGTCTGGAGCAAAGCTCTCCTGCACCTGTGTCAGTTGTGAACTGAACTGGCTTCTTTTTCCATACACCACCATGTTTACTTGAAATAATGACTGACAAGTTATGGATTTTCAGACTTGGGATCTGGCAGACATTTTCTCATAAATGAACTGAGACTGTCACTGTAAGGACACACCTGACATTTGCAACCAACAGTAAAATTCAAGATTTAAAAGCGAAAATTGGGATTTTGAAAAATTTGTATACACTGTGAACTTGACAGCTTCCCAACACTGTGATGAGACTGGTGATTATATTAATAAACGTAACATTTTATCATCAGATAAGGAAAGATGCTAACATTTGGGAGATCTGCATAAATTAGTGAACCGATATTTTGCAAAAGACTGATATACTTTATGTCACATATTCATGCATGGGTGAAAGATCCATCCAAATAACACAGACCAAAGGGCTTTAATGTAATCGTCTAAAAAAATTCATTAATTTGATTTCGGATTCCACAATGAAACAAACTTTTAAGAAACTACCACTTCCTAAGTTTTGGTACTGCATCGAATAAGAATATCCACATTTATCTGAAAAAAGCTTTTAAAACACCTCTCCCTTTTCCAAATACGTATCTGTGTGGAGGCGGGTGTTCTTTATACAATTTCTGTCATATTCTAGTAAGTCAGACATCTGCAAAAATGTAACACAGTACCATTCTTCTAATTTTTTGTACTTGGTTGGGAAAATATATACTTCTTTTTCACGAGAGTGTTAGTTGCATAATCATATAATAGGTTTATTATTTTTAAATTGATCAATATTTTAATTTCTCATTTTAATTTCTCATATGGTAAATATCAGTATCAAAAACCCACATAACCAAAAGTTCCTTATGGTCATCAGTAACTTTTAAGAGTGTAAAGGGGTTCAAAGACCAATAATTTTGAGAAATGTAGATCTAAACTATCAAAAACATAGGGAAATATCTCCCCATTTTATAAGATTCTATAGCCTGTCTTAGTGACATACTCAAGTTTAACATGCCTCCATCAGAACATTTCCCTCCTTATATTCAACCTCAATCTTTGGCAGACTGAATAATCAAAGCTCATTCTCTTCTGCCTTCACTGGTTTTTTCAATCAGCCTTAACACTCCAAATGATTGTTATGTAGCCTATGACTAAATCCAAGAAAAATCAGATCACTCTTCTTTTTGCTGTCTCCGTAAGTAGTAAACTAAGGTAAAAATGTGGCTTATTGTGTCTTTTCCAGTCAAATCAGTCAGCAGGCCTTGGCCTTGCCTCGTGTTGTACTGTGTGAGCTTGTCAGAGAACTGGAGAGGGATAAGGAGTCAAGGGGACGCTTCTTAAAAATTAGACTTTAAAGAGCATTTTTACACTCTGTAGCAACTGAGCCACTGGAAGAAAAGTTGACAAGAAAAAAGAAAGGGGATGCCTAACGACACAGACCTTGATCCAGAGGAGACGGCATTGACAGCCCCAGCGGTGGGACTAACTCTGGATAGGAGGGATGACATTTCCTTCACTGTAACAGGACAGTGAACACAAATACAGCTAGCCCGGTTGTGAGACAACAAGAAGCTCCACATATTGTCAAATATGCAAAAGGCAATGTCATCAGCTGAGAGGGAAAGAGGAGGAAGAAATTTAGGAAGTTGAAGAGAAAAAATTGGAAAAACAAATCTGCCAGAGGAAAAAAAATGAGTCTACCAGGTATTTTTAGTGTAATTTTGAGGTCTGAGATTATGAATTTAAAGGAAAACAAATTAGGTCCAGGCCATTTTCAGCAACAGTCAGCTGCTCGGTGCTGGCAGAAGAGAGGCAATGGCTCACCCAGTGTCGGGTTTGATCAGCCACGTGTAATTGAAGGCAAGAAGGGCAAAACTGGTGTGACTAATAAAAAGTGATTTAAATGAGACACTATGTAGTCTAGACTAGGTAAGGCAGGAAAAGGGCTGACTGGCAGTGATCTGTGATGCAGATCTGGGTCATGGCTCGCAGCCCTGGCTGTCCACAGAAGTCACCTGAGGAGCTTTAGGAAAGTAATACCACGGATGCTCAGGTTAACCCCAATTCTTTCCAGGCTTAACTGGTCTAGAACAGGGGCTGTCACTAGAACACTAGAGTGACCTTGTCACTGACATTTTTTCGAGTTCCACAGGTTGAGAGCTACCAGCGAGAAGTTGTGTCAAGGCTATAAAACAGTGGCAGTGAGAGTACCTAAACAGGGAGCTGGGAGAACAGGAAATGGTGAGATAGTGCCCCAAAAGTGGGATGGCTGAATAAAAATGCCAGTGGTAACAGTTTCTAATGATGACAGGATTCAGGCTGAGTTCATGAGAGGGGTGATAGAGGCAGAGAAGACGAAACAGTCCCTGGAGTTGAGGAGGTCAAAGAACCAGGAACATAGGGCATTAGGGAGCTCATCCCAGTGGAGGGGAAATCACTACAAACAATGGCAGAAGGTGGCAAAGAGAGATGAAGTAGGAGCTGAGCTAAAGTCTTCAAAAAACAAAGAGGAGTGGCCAATGGGTTGGTCAATGCCAGCAACACAGAGAGGAAGACACTAAATAGTGATGAATTTTGTCTATGATGTTTAGTAAAAACAAAGTTATCAGCAGGCTACCAATTCTAGCTCGACCCAAAATAAGGTTTTCAATTACTTTGTTTGGTGGTGGCTAGAGGAGCAAAATGCCAAATCCAATGAAATGAAATCTTCTAACATGCTAAAAGTATTTTCACTGAGGTATAAAACATGTGAATTTTGACAATTCTGGAAGAAATTCTAAAAACTTCCCAGAATGTTTCTTATTTTAAATGTAATTTTTTTTAATCTCTGTTTATTTTTGAGAGAGAGAGACAGAGTGTGAGCGGGGGAGGAACAGAGAGAGAAGGAGACACAGAATCCGAAGCAGGCTCCAGGCTCCGAGGTATCAGCACAGAGCCCAACACGGAGCTCGAACTCATGGATGGCAAGATCATGACCTGAGCCGAAGTCGGACGCTTCACTGACAGAACCACGCAGGTGCTCCCCAGAATGTTTCTTAAGTGAGAGACTTTCTATTTGAATTCTCTTTTCCCCTTATACATATAATTGAGCATCATTGAAGGATCAAGAAATCACCATGACAAGTTTTCTTAAACTGTAACTTCTTGAACCATACTTTAAAATTTAGAAGACAGGCATGGGAAGAGAGCGTTCATAACTTTTATCAGATTCTCAAAGGGTTTATGACTCTAATACCAACAACCACTGAACTAAGAGATATTTCATAGGTTAGGCAATCAAGCTACCTTTAAGTAAAGCCATGCCATGCTTAATGAAAAAACCTCCAAATTCTGCCAACGAGATGATATAAGTCAATACTTTCTCAGCTATAGGTAATGCCCATTCGCCCATTAAAAGTGTGTTCAGTGAAAAGTTTGTATGCAAAGATGAAGAAACAGAGGATAATAGGAGAAAAGACTGATTTAAATAAAAGCCCTATCCAAGGGCACAGGAAAGTACAATGTAATGTCCCCAACCATACATAATAAATATGTCCCTGGAAAGTCAGGCTTCTGTTACATATTAAAAGAGTATTCTTTCAAATGTACTATGGAAGCAGTTATTTAAAGGAATATCACAGAGAATGATTTTGGAGATGCATTAAATTTTTGTAATGCAATAAAGTCTATAACTTATTTTTTGGCTTTTTTTTTTTAATCCAGATTGGTAGAGATATAGTGTTTGCTTATAGCAAAAAATATGTCAGTTGATTAATACCCTTTCCATTCCAATACAGTGGATCTGATGATAAATACTATTAAGGCCCACAGCAGAGAATACCACTGCCCTAGAAGTTTTGTCATCTACCTGCTTCATCCTTCTCTCTGTTAGGAGAAAGTAGCGTTGCCAATTAGGAAAGCACTGCAGTGTTCTCTCCATCTAACTAAAGCACCTACCAGCTCCTCCTTAACAGCCACACCTTCTGAGCCATCACTGATCTGTAGGGTGGTCTTCTTTACCCGTCGCACCCTCTTTGGTTTGCATTCCTTGGGAATAGGCTGCTTACGACTTCTGGGGACTTTCTTTTGGGGCTCCCAGGCACTATCTTCCTTGTCATCTTCTTCAGAGGCAGATGATCTAGGAGTAAATTGATAGAAAATGAAGGAAAAATGAAGCCAAATGTTAAAGGCAAAAAGACATGCTTCTTGAAAAAAGAATAAGGTAGGAGGTGTTTAATATAAAATGGAATGATGTGAGTACAAGCTATGAATACATATTGCTAAGTACTGAAACAAGAGTTGATCAAAGGCCAATGTAAAAATAGTCCGGATATGTGATGAATCACAGGTGTCTCCATTCCCCTCTCACCTATACAGCGCATGCACCCACAGGCGTGTGCGTGTGTGCGCGTGCACACGCGCGCGCGCACACACTCTCTCTCAAGACACAGGAAATCATTCATTACCTAACGCAAGTTACTGGGTGGTGTCACACCACAGTCTGTGAGGTTTGCTATTATACCAATGAAAAGCACTTTAACAATTTCCTAAGTGGTAATCAAATTAATTTAAATGAAGTTCCTCAAACCAATGTAAAGAGTGGGAAACAGCTGTAGGAAACATCCTAAATTACATAAAAAGCCAGCACCAGGGTGCCTGGGTGGCTCAATCAGTTAAGCATCCAACTTCGGCTCTAGACATGATCTCACGGTTAGTGAATTCAAGCCCTGCCTCGGGCTCCATGCACTGACCACATCGTGGAGCCCGCTTAGGATTCTCTCTCTCTCCCTCTCTGCCCCTCTCCAGCTCACTCACTCTCTCTCTCAAAATAACTAAATAAACTTAAATAAATAAATATATATATATCCCAAATTAGACCACTTCTCACCACGTTCACTTCCAGGACCCTAGACTTCTACAATAATCTCCTTAACTGATCCCCTGCTTCCATTCTTGCTCCCCTACAGTCTGCTCTCCACCAAGAAACCAGAATGATCTTTTAGAAATGTAAACTGGATCATGTCACATCCCTGCCCAAACCTTCCAATGGCTTCCCAACCCCCTGTCACCAGCTAGACCCCAAGACCCAACCTTTACTGCCCACTTGCTTGTGCTAACATTTTTCCCGTCTTACATTTTCCTTTAAGTTCTTCTTTCTGGCAACTTATCCCTTAAATCAGGCAAATGAAACCCAAAACCACCCTTCAGGTGATGGGACTTCCCTGACAAGACCTCTTGCAGGGCCAGACCACCCAGTCCCTTTGGGCTAAACCTGACTCGCACCTGCACAGACAGACCTTAGGGTGACCCCTGAAATGTCCAGCAATTACCTTTACCTTGTTACAATACTAAAATCTCCACCCAAGGAGGGCCACAAGCCTCACTTACATAACATGCAATGTATGTATGGGCATGTTTCCTTAAGGTGCATGTGTGACCTTATGCCCACCTCCACATACAATGACAAGGCTTCTCTTGTCATCCTAACCCTAAACAAAAGGTACCTATTCACCCTCTTTTGGGGAGTCACAGCTTTGCAAGATATTCCCAGTGATCTCCTTACTTGTCGCAGATCAAGTTTACTTTGTGTGACAACTCCACCTGGTGTATCTGTGACTCACCTAGGAGCAAACTCAGGTTGGTCCAGTTAGACAACTTCAAAATAAGATGCTGACACCTTGTCAAGGCCTATTAGGTCCCATCCATTCCAATTTCATTTCTAGTCACTCTCAGCCTTGGTGACTCTTGTCTGGCCACCCTTGTCTTGCTGTTGCCTAAACACACCAAACTCATTCCTGCCTCGGGGTCTTTGCACTTGCTGCTCCTTCCATGTGGAACACCCATCCCTGTATCCTTGCAAGTTGTTACTTCCAAATCTCATTTAGATCTCTTGCCACATCCTCCAAAAGAAGTTTCCTAAATACTGTATCCAAGATGGTTCCTGACCAGAACACTCACCATGCTATCCCTTGCCCTGTTTAATGTTCTTTTAGAGTACTTATTACTGCCTAATATTTATCAGTCACTATTTAACAAATAACTTCAGGGCACATATAGTACAGTGCTCTAAAGCAGAGGCTCTCAACTGAGGACAATTTTATCCCCCTGGGGAACATCCGGCAATGTCTGGAGACATTTTTGATGGTCACAACTGGGACAATTTTATCAAACTGGGAAGATCCTTTTGGCACTAGTTAGTAGAGACCAGCATTCCTGGTCCCTACTACATCCTACAACACAAAAGACAGTCTCCACAGCAAAGAATTATCTGGTCAATAGTGCTGATTTTGAGAAACCCTGTTCTGAAGTGATATAAAAAAACTCCCTGCTCTCATGGAGCTTACACTCTAGTGTAAATATCATGGTATACACTTGGTTACTTTCTCTCTCCTTGTTCAATAGTTGAACACCAACACCGAAACAGAGCCTGGTACACAACATGAGTTCAATAAATATTTGTCCCGTGAATGAATGAAAAAGACAACAGTCTTCCTCAACCCAAATGACTTACATTAGTAAGTGACAGAATGCATTTGTCCTTAAAATATACATCATTCTCCCAACCCCATAGGAAACCAATATGCTTACAACTCTGAGAAGGAAGAGAATTCATCTTTGGATACCACAGTCTGGACCTTGACTTTTGCTCTTCTTGGCAATGATGACATCTGGAAGAAACAGAAGATAAAATCAGCATGATGTGAATCACCTGAATAACTGATCACTTACGTTGTCCACAAAGCGATGTGCCACTCAAAACTAACACTCCAATAGCTCCGCTGTTAAAAAAAAAAAATGCCACAGAAAAAAAAAAAATGAGAAGTATTCAAAAGCCCAAACACCAGTTTCCCCTCCTATGAGGCTGCCAAATATAAGAGCAGCTAACAGCCTTCCAATGGTTTCAAAAGCCTGAGGAATGTGGGCCACCTTTGGAAAAATGTAAGCTCCGCTAGGGTGACAACTTTTAGGTTTTTTTAGAGTTACATGCGTGAATATACCGCAAGCACTATCAGCTGTTTTATCAGACAGCAAATGATAAAGTCCTTTATCAAACTATTTTAAGGATAAGAAGTATTTTCCCACTTTTATATCTTCTTACAATATAAAGGCCTATCTATAAAGTTGACAGTCAAATAAATGTTGATGGACTGAAAAGGCCGCCACGTTATTCTTAAAACAAGAACATCTATTCCCTTAGTTTATGGTATTTAAATAAAAGACTTATTGGAAAATAAAAAATAATCACTAATGTCACTAGAAATAGTTACCAGCTCTTCAAAACACGGAGACAAATAACCAGAGACATCCTACAATATAGGAAGTCAGCAAATTTACTTTAGCTAATAAATTTTATTACCTAAAGAGTGTATGTCAAACCCTAAAATCCACATTAGACTCTGACATGCTTGGAACCCTTTAACCAGTCATGTTACAATGCCTCCAGTTCTAACTTCCACTTAGAAGAAGAAGGAATGCTTCATAGAAATACAAAGGGGTTGTCACAAAAGCATACAGGTGCCCTCGGCTCTTTAGCTCAATTCAGTCCAGTAGTTGCAGATTACTCAAGAGTGCACCCAGAGTAAACCAGGAGAACAAAAGGAAAACAGTCTCCAGGAAGTGGACAGGATAATCTTCCATCTTTTCCTTCACCTCCCTTTGTGGCACTGTACACTTATGCCAGTCAGCCTTCTTCAAATAAGTGTTTCTAGATACTGATCATAAAGGAATAGGTAACTTTTGATTTCTATGTTATATGAACTTGACTACAACAAAAAAAAACACAAACAGAAAAAGTTAGTGTATCATGGGGTGCCAGTTCAAATCAAGGCAGAAATGAGTTGTTCAAAAAGTTGTATTAAGACAACAAGCCATCCTTCTGGAGGAAAACAAATATTTAAGTCCTACTGCCATACCCTGAACAAAAATATATTCCACACAACTAATAATTTAAAACGTGCAAAATATTTCTCAGAGCTAAAACAAACAATCCTAAAATTAGTACAGAACCTCAAAAGACCCCAAATAGCCAAAGCAATTTTGAAAAAGAAGAACAAAACTGGAAGTATCACAATTCTGGATTTCAAGCTATATTACAAAGCTGTAATCATCAAGACAATATGATACCAGCACAAAAAACAGACACAAAGATCAATGGAACAGAATAGAAAACCCAGAAATGGACCCACAACTATATGGTCAATCAATCTTCAGCAAAGCAAGAAAAGAATATCCAATAGAAAAACACAAGTCTTTCAACAAATGGTGTTGAGAAAACTGGACAGCGACATGCAGAAGAATGAAACTGGACCACTTTCTTACACCATACACAAAAATAAATTCAAAATGGATGAAAGACCTAAACGTGAGCTAGGAAACCATCAAAATCCTAGAGGAGAACACAGGCAGCAACCTCTTTAACCTCAGCCGCTGCAACGTCTTACCAGACATATCACTCAAGGCAAGGGAAACAAAAGTATACATGAACTAATGAGACTTCATAAAGATAAAAGTCTGCACAGTGAAGAAAACAATCAACAAAACTAAAAGGCAGCCTACACAATGGGAGAAGATATTTGCAAAAAGCATATCTGATATCGGGTTAGTATCCAAAAATCTACAAAGAACTTACCAAAGTCAACATCCAAAAAACAAGTTAAGAAATGGGCAGAAGACATGAGCAGACATTTTTCCAAAGAAGACATCCAGATGGCTAACAGACACATGAAAAGATGCTCAACACCACTCATCATCAGGGAAATACAAATCAAAACAATAATGAGATACGACCCTACACCTGTCAGAATGGCTAAAATTAACAACACAAGAATTAACAGGTGTTGGCAAGGATGCAGAGAAAGGGGAACCCTCTTCACTGTTGCTGGGAATGCAAACTGGTGCAGCCACTCTGGAGAACAGTATGGAGGTTCCTCAAAAAAAAAAAAAAAAAAAGCTAAAAATAGAACTACCCTATGATCCAGCAACTGAACTATTAGGTATTTACCTAAAGGATAAAAAACAAAATACAGATTTGAAGGGATACATGCACCCCAATGTTTAGAGCAGCATTATCAACAATAGCCAAACTAAGGAGAGAGCCCAAATGTCCACTGACTAATGAATGGATAAAGATGATGTGGTTTATATACACAATGGAATATTACTAAGCCATCAAAAAAGTGAAATCCTGCCATTTGCAACAACATGGATCTAGAATGTATTATGCTAAGCAAAATAAGTCAATCAGAGAAAGACAAATACCATATAATTTCACTCATATGTGGAATTTAAGAAACAAAATAGATGAACATACAGGAAGAGGGGGAAAAGAGGGAAACAAACCACAAGAGGCTCTTAATAATAGAGAACAAACTATATAGGTTGATGGAGGGAGATGGGTAGGAGATGGTCTAGATGGGTGATGGGTACTAAGAAGGGCACATATGATGAGCACTGGATGTTGTTTATAAATAATGAATCACTGAATTCTACTCCTGATACCAATATTGTACTGTATGTTACCTAAAATTTAAATTTTAAAAAAGGGAAAAAAATAATTTAAAAATAAATGTAAAAGAGATAGTCAAAAAATAAAAAATAAATTAAAAATAAAATGTACAAAATAAAACTACAAGGGGCACATGGGTGGCTCAGTCAGTTGAGGGTCTGACTCTTAACTTCGGCTCAAGTCATGCTCTCAGGGTCACAAGATTGAGCCCCAAGTCAGGCTCTGTGCAAAACATAGAGACTGTTTAAGACTCTCTCTCTCTCTCTCTCTCTCTCTCTCTCTCTCTCTCTGCCCCTCTCCCTGCTCGAGCTCTCTCTCACTAAAATAAATAAAATTTTTTTTAAAAGCTCTCTCTCTCTCTCTCTCTCTCTCCCTGTGCCCCTCTCCCCGACTCATGCTCTCTCCCTAAAATAAAAAAAATTTCATTAAAAAAATAAAACTACAAAAGTACTACAGAAAATAAATATGACCATTTTCATAATTTAGAGTGGAGGTAGGGGAAGAAAAGTTTTCCTAGCCATAACTCAAAATTTCAAAAGCCAAAAGAGAGACAGATTTCACTATATAAAAATTAAAATTCCAAGTCAGCAGTGGGAGTGCTTCAGAACCAAACCAATTTATTCTGCACTATCATCAAAAAAATCACAAGAAGCAGTACCTGATACCTTGGAACTAAGAATGAAGGGACTAAGGGCTGGTGTAAGTTGTCTGAGGCAAAGAAACATCTCTAGAGGCCCTACTCCACTTCATGCTATTAAGCAACTGCCTGGGGAAAAAGTCTGGAAAGAATAAAACCATCTTTAGACTACAGGACACCAAATACAGTTGTGGGCATGAGAAACATACAGACCAAACAGTAAATGAAGAGGGCCCCTCCCCACCAGTCCTCTTCTGCTACTAAGCTCCTAGTCAGACCTTTTCTCCAGGGAGGAAAACGGAAAGACTCTTCTCTGGAGAATCTGACCAGCCCAAAAATAAAAACCTGAAGATACTAAATTCCCCCAACAAACAACCCAACTAGATCATCTACTCGCACCTCTCCGTTCTACAATATACCAGAATTCAGAACATTCCCATACAGACCACCATGCACCAATTCTCACTCCACACTTTAACAGAAATGTGTTTAAAATAGGGGTAGACACACCCATGGCAATCTCATAAAATTCTGAGTAACCATTAAAGAAACAAATATTGTTCTTTCCCGAAACAAATATGTCCAAATTCCCCTTTATTAGGCACCCTGGAAGCAATGTTACCATTGAATGATGAGTAAGATGTAAACTTATCCTCTGACAAGTAGAAAAATATGAATTTGAAAAGGGAGGTGGGGAAGGAGAATATGCTTGAGCACGTAGGCCAATTTCAGACTGCTTCTAGAAAGAGTATATATAGAAGCTAAGGACCTAGAAATTTTTTCAAAACTGCCTATGCCAGGTATACTCCCAAGGGTATACATATTCCAGTTTAAAGGCTGATGTTTCTAGGAGCTGTTTCTCCATCTCCACTCCTCCCAAGTTCCGGTCTTCATATCACAGGACTCATTCAATTAACCAAAATTCCATCCATTTCCATGCTTTTAAATATCTGTATCACCTACTTATTAACAATCCTAATACCTCCAACCCAAATCTTGCCAAAGATTCAGATTTACATAATAAATTATTCATATTGCCTAAGAAACTATGTAGATGCCTCATACTTACCTAAAATGTAACATACCCACAATGAAATCTTGATAACCATTTCTTGTCTTAAAACCCATTCCTACCGGTCTTTCCCATCTCAGTAAATGGCACCATCATCCATCTAAATAGGTGGCTAAGCCAGAACCTTGGAAAAATTTTAACAGCTTCACTGAGCTATAAATGACATACAATAAATTATACATGCTTAAAGTGTACAAACATGGTAAGTTTTGGAATATGTATACACATCTCCACAACCAAGATAACACATCTATCATCCTCCAAAGTTTCATTTGCTAAGCTAAAGGCTTGCAAATCTTTTTTTCCTGTCATCTCCCAGTCTACTAATAAGCAACATAAATTCTTCCTCCAAAATACAGCTTACACTTCTATGATCTCTTTAGTCCCCGTATCTCTTATCTAGACTATAATAACCTCTTAACTGGCTTCCCTGCTTCCACTCTTGCCTCTACTACCCATTCTCCACATATGAACCCGAAAGATCATTTAGAAAATGCTTAAAAACCATTCCCACTTCCCACTCCATCCTCCACTTAGAATCAAATCATATTTTTCTTTTTTTTTTTTTTTTTTTTTAATTTTTTTTCAACATTTATTTATTTTTGGGACAGAGAGAGACAGAGCATGAACGGGGGAGGGGCAGAGAGAGAGGGAGACACAGAATCGGAAACAGGCTCCAGGCTCTGAGCCATCAGCCCAGAGCCCGACGCGGGGCTCGAACTCACAGACCGCGAGATCGTGACCTGGCTGAAGTCGGACACTTAACTGACTGCGCCACCCAGGCGCCCCAGAATCAAATCATATTTTTACCATGACCTTCTAAAATGCCCTACAGGACTGCCCCCTGCCTGTCTTTCTAACCACATTTACCATTTGTTGCAGCTCTTCAGCCAGTTACAACATTCTTTCAGTCCCTGAATGAACCACAATTCTTTGCCATCTCAGGTTCACTCTTTCTGGAACACTATTCCCGATGCTTATCAATGGACTAGCTCTTTCTCATTTCTTACAGCTCAGCATTTTAGGCCTAAAATGGGTTTCCAAAATACAGTATTATTATAGGACCCTATTTATTTCCTTTAAACAGTACTATATAACATAGTCTAGAATTATCCTTGTTTATTGTCTGCATCCCCCATGTTTACTTCATGGCAGTAAACACCATGAAGGAAGAAACCACATTTGCCTTTTTCTGCATAACACAGAGCTTAGCACTTAATAGCTACCCTATAACATACATGTATTAAATGAACATAAGAATATATACAAAATGGTCTCTATAAAGGAATATACATTTTTCCCCATAACTATTAGGCAATATCACACATGGCACTCATTGTTTTCTTTTTGAAAAAGTGATGGTACAGAAGAACATTCTTATTCTTAGTGGCTTAAGATCTTTCCCTCTCAACGCTGTCTTATCTCTGTGGACACAAGAGCATATTCAAAATCAGTTGCTGCGATGGTCCTAAAGGAGAAGGCACTAAATTAGGATGAGTGAAAATCGGGAAGGGGGTGTGAAGAAACCTGCACACACATAAATATTACATTAAAAATGGGAAAACCACAATTAGAAATGTTAAGAGCACAGGGGAACTTTTTAGGAGGGAGCTGAAGAAGTTTCCCCAAGGGTACAAACAGAAGTGCTTGGAATGTCGGCAAAGATCCCTACATAATACAAAGTAACAGACCTGTAAAGGATGCGGATGATGCCGACAAGGCCATGATCTGATGGTAAAAAGGGTGCTTCCTCCCCCATCTCCGATAACTTGAGGTGTGGAAACAAGCTAGGTTTGCCTGGGTTTTCCCATGTCTGTCCCTACGTGCTAAGAGCTGCGATTTGACTGAGAAGACGCGCCAGGTAACACGCGGCAGCTAGGAGGGGTTTTCCGGGTGTAGGTTGGAAGATACAGACCGCAGACCGTAATATGTAATGACACTTCTCACTTTAAAAAGGGATGTTATTTCCCAAATGAGCGCTTAAAATTTTTTAAATGGCCCCATAACTACCGGAGCCCGGGCGCCGGGTTCACGCGAGCCCGCAGGAACACCGCCAAGGCGGACGCTCAGCTCACCTTCCCGCCCGGCGAGTCAGAAGGCCCGGGATTCTGTGTGTGACCGCATCTTCCGGTTCCCGCCGGAAGTTTTTCAAACGCCGGAAGTCCCGCCTCGCTTCCCCCTGACTCGCGGCAGCAGCTCAGACTGCCGGAGCGGATGGAGCCAAGCTGGACGGAGGCGGGGCTAAGGCGAGGATCCTTCGGGATCTCTGAGGCGGGGCCCTACCCGGGGTGTGGCGGGACTGGAAACCAGCACTCTCTCCCCGGATGCTGCCACAAGCGGAGCCCGAGGTGCTGTTAACGCGGACCCACCTCCTTGTTCTTTCTCTTTCTCCTCACCCGGCTTACCCTTTGCATCCTGCTCTTTGAAATTCAGTCAAAAATGTTTCTTTTCATTACATTATTTTTAATTTGCAGTAGAAAAAGGAGAAGCAAGTTATATTCTTTCTAAAGTCAATTTTAAGTGTCGTTAATGAACTTCGCTCAGGGTGTTTTAAGCATACTTTTAGCCTGTTTCATTATTTCCTAGGCCCCGAGATAAGGGTTTTGCTCTAGTCTTATGGAAATACACAAAGTTGGCCTCTTCTGAGAAGCCCTCACACAGCCCTTGAGGTGCATGCTACCTTAATGGAGTTTAACCCTAGAGTCACGTCTGCCTTGCTTCAGTCTCTCAGGCAGCTCGTACTGCCAGGTACACCGATTTGGAAACCGGGTTCTCTTAGAAACTTACTGATAGACTTTGGCAAATCCTTTTATGTCTTTGAACTTGTTTTATCGGCTTCCCTTCCATCCTACCCCTCACCTGGTAAGGTACCCCGTTCCATATTAGAGGTAAAAACTCAATTAATTTACTCAAAGTAAACGCAGGTCCCAGATACCTCACCTTGGGCAAAAATGGGAAAACCCTGATCCGTTTCATTTTCAGATTCTTGGAGAGTGCTATGACTTACTTATAAGTCCTAATAACAGTGTCCTAGGCGAGTCTTCCTCTGTATCCCAAATTTCCATTTCCCTTTCCACAAAACACAAAAGTAGCTCCTGCTTTTTGCTTGAATGACTCCAAGGTACCTTGTTTTTTAAATGTTTATGTATATATAAGTATATAATAAATATATATATATATATGTTTATTTATTTTTCAGAGACAGAGAACGAGCAGGAGAGGGGCAGAAGACTGAGACTTGGGAGGAAACCAAGAGTTGGATGCTTACCCGACTGAGCCACCCAGGTGTCCCAAATGTTTATATTTTGAGAGAGAGCCTGAGTAGAGGAGGGGCAGAGAGAGAGGGAGACAGAAGATCCAAAGCAGGCTCTGTGCTGACAGCAGTGAGCCGATGTGGGGCTCAAACTCGGCAACCATGAGATCATGACCTGAGCTGAAGTCGGAAGCTTTAACCCCACTGCCATTCCCTAAGCTCCACTTTTTTTTGACTAACCCAAATTAAGAGCTATAAAGGCCTCCCCAGCAATTCTTTCCCTTTACCTTGAATATATTTTCTCAAAATCAGTATTCAGTAAAAAGAAAAAATGACTTGTTTTTTGGTGATGTATTTTTTTGCCAAACACACTAAATTCTAAACTCACAAAAACAGACAACAAAATTAGACGTAAAATTAGGGAATAAAGTCTGTTGTTAGATCAAAACCCCGGATTTGGGGTGCGTGGCTACCTCAGTCAGTAGAGCATGTGACTCTTGATCTCGGGGTCCTAAGTTTGAGCCCCCCATATTTGGCATAGAGTTTACCTGAAAACAAATTTTTTTTAAATCTCTACAGAGAAAACAAACATGGATTTGTTTTAGAAGATTATATAGAGCAGCTTTCCATACTAATGACTCATTTCCATGTGTTTTGAGTACTGAAAGGCCAAGCAAGGTATTGAAATACCTTATGAGTGGGCCTTGCTAACTATAGATTCACCCAAAGTAAACATAAATTTTACTAGATAATGTTTGCTATGGGAAGAAAATAGGACTCTTTTTCAATTTAGTAAGTCTGTTCATCTGTATCTTAAGATTCTTGGTCAGTAAGGATCAGTTTCTGAGATTTTTCAGAGTTGGTTTTTTTTTTTTCCTCCTTAATTTGTAGTCTTATGTTGCCTTTCACAGTGATTCCAGAAGGTTTGGAACTGTCTGCTACAATCACAGTCTGCTCCATAATTTCTAGTTCTGAAAATACTAGAGAACACATTACAGTCCAGAATTCTGGGAAGGGAAACCAGGCCATAATAATCAACAATAATTTACTATTAACTATTCACCTATTTTTGATGTTGAATTGTGCTATACAGGTTTAAGGTAGGAAGTAAAAACGGTCAAGATAAACCAGTATTTTGCAAAATCTTTTGCCATAATTTCTACCCTGGAGGAATTTACAAACAAGACTGGAGAATATATACAGTTGTAAGAGACAGAGATCCATACAAGACAGTCTGGATTCAAGGGTTAGGTTGTATATCAAAGTAGCCACAGTGGTAAAGTGAGAGTGAGTATAAGGATTGGACAGTGGAGTGTTGGATCTTGACTCCTCCATCAGAGATGTTTGCCTTTCAACTGGGGAAGAAAAATGATTAGTAAGTGAAAGTAAATAACCTGTAAGGTTTTAGACATCAGACATCTGGGAAAAATAAAAGCTGGGGTGGTGTCCTCTGAAAGTAATGCAGGTGGCAACCTGCTCCAAAGATAAGTAAGACTGTCCAGAAAACATTTCTCTTGGAATTTTGCAAGACAGCCACTCCCACTAAAAGCTGTCAAGGGAAATTTATAATCACTAAGTATAAACCAGGCCCCACCACAAAGACTGCCTTTTCTCTCCAGGTCCTTGCCCAATCTATTGTTTACTTTTGCACCTTAAGTACTGAATTTCAAAAAATTCATGACTTTAGCCTGGAATAATCTGGATGCTCACCTGAGACTTATTGCAACAGAGTTTTGGAGTAATGAAACATGTTTTGGAGGCTATTTATTTTATTGCTGCAAGGCATGTAGCTATTCATATGTTATTCCTTGGTATGTGATCACTTATACGTTATTATCTGTGTTTTCAAGTCCTTTCCCTATGGTTCTGTCTCCCCAAGGAGACTGTAATAATAGTAATGACTTATATTCATTGATCATCTACCCTATGCCAAGCACTAAATTAAGTTTTTACATGTATGTGTGTATTTAACTCACATAACAGCTCAATGAGATACTGCTATTATCCTGTTTTTATAAATGAGAAGACCAACGTATGGAGAAGTTAAATAACTCATCCAAAGTCACATCAGCTATTAAATTGCAGATCTGGATCTAAACCTAGTACTCTGAAAGACCTGCATATACCTCCACTCAAAGCAAAGATCTTTCCTTATCTGTTACATTGGCCAGTGCAAGACTGAATCTTTGAGATGCTCAGGAACTGTTGAATCTCTAAATACACTAAATAAAGTACTATCTACCCACCTGGGATACAACAAGGCTCTTCTCTCCCTTGACTTCAAACTAATCAAAGTTCCATGGGAACAAAAATTCTTAATAAAGATGCACTATATTTTGCACCTGCTAAATTGTAAGGTACTTGGATCTAAGCCTTGGAAATAAGTCTTAGTCATTTTGGTCTCTCCTTCTCTAACTCTTCCCTCCACCCACATACTGCCCAATAATGCTTGACAAATAATAAGTACTTAATAAAATAGTAGACTAATGCGTGGCCCAAAGAATGTGCCTGTAGTAAAAAAAAATACATCTTTCCTCGCACTATGAAAGTAATCTAAAGTTCTTGCCACCAGTGAGTTACCATTTAAAAACTCAAGTGTAGGGGCACCTGGGTGGTTCAGTTGGTTAAGCGTCTGACTTTGGCTCAGGTCATGATCTTGTAGTTAATGGGTTCAAGCCCTGTGTTGGGCTCTGTGCTAACAGCTCAGAGCCTGGGACCTGCTTCTGATTCTGTATCTCCCTCTCTCTCTACCCCTCCCCTGCTCATGCTCTGTCTCTCAAAAATAAGTAAATGTTAAATAAATAAATAAAAACTCAAGTGTACTTATGGAAGTTCAAACTTTTTATCCCTTAGAGTTAATCACCTGGCAAAAGCAGATGAGTGTTTCAGATTAGAGAATGCACAAACTGAAACTAAGCCCTATTTCATGAATTTGCGTATAAGCCTCACCCATCCACTTTCCTACTTCTAGCAGCTCTCATTCCTCATACTGAAACTCATTGGCTTCAATGAGCTTCTCTCGATAATTCAGCCATGAACTTAGATGTTTCCTGCAAAATATAAATGATTATTAAGCAGAGAGGGGATGGCCTGTGTTTTCCAAATGAGAAAGGGGTTTCTTTTTTCTTTTTTTTTTTTATGATGAAAAAATTTAGATTTAGCCAGCTAGACTCAGTTTAGATGATCCCAATTTTGTTGGCAACATCCAAAGCATCATAGTCAGGAGCCAGTCAAACACATGCTTTCTTTTCTCCATCGGGCCTGATCAGAATGTTGACCTTGGCCATGTCAATGTCATAGAGCTTCTTCACAGCCTGTTTGATCTGGTGCTTGTTGGCCTTGACATCCTCAATGAACACAAGAGTGTTGTTGTCTATTTTCTTCGTGGCTGACTCGGTAGTCACGGGGAACTTGATGATGGCATAATGGTCAAGCTTGTTTTTCCTGGGGGCACTCTCTCAAGGCTATTCGGGCTGTCTTCGGAGACGCAGTGTCTTGGATGGTCGGAATGTAGGTGATGTGAGGATTTTCTTTTTTTTATGACTGTGGATGCCTTTCAGCTCTGCTTTCTTGGCCTTCAAAGCCTTTGCTTTGGCTTTGGCTTTGGGAGGGGCAGGGGCTTCCTTCTTTGCCTTCGGCGCCATCTTCATGAAAGGGGCAAAGGGGTTTCTTGTTAAGAGAGCTAGACCAGGCTGGTGAATGGGTTCCCAAACTTGGCCTTTCCTGTTACTTTTTCAGTCTGGGAACAGGAGCATAATTCCAAAGGGCTAGTCTAGTCTGAGGACATTGTTCTAGCACAGATAAGTATGTCAGTTTTTTGTGTAAAAGAAAATAGGTTCAATGGATTAA